TTCATTATCAATAAATTGTAACTTATGTTTACGAATAAATTTAGTACCTTCTTCTGAAAGTGTTTCGTCTATTTCACCATCTAATAAATTTTGTGTTGATTCTGAGACATAATTTTTATATCTTTCTTCATGAGATTTTGAACTTCTGATTCTGAAGCTGGGATATTCATTAAACCCTCTACTTCATTCTCATTATATTTTTCAACTTCTCTTAATTCCTTAATTTTTTCATCTATTTCATCTCTTATTTTTTCCAGTCTTTCAATTTCATCATATTCATCATCTTTAATCCGTTCTTCATAATATTCAGGGAAAACATCAGGTTCTTTAGGTTTTTCTTCTTCAGATGTGGGATATAAGAAATTTATAACATCATCTTTATTCATTTTTCCATCATAATCTAAATCATTTAAAACTCCGCGAATTTTTGACAATTTCTTAAATAATATTTATAACTTCATAACCTGCCTCCTCTAATATATCCTTTATTTCCTCATTTGTGAATTCCAATTTTTTAACGTCGTTAGTTGTGACACTCATTTTCATACGAATTAAAAAATAAATTATTCAAAAAATGTAAGACATGAATTTTTAAAGTTTATTTTTTTATTTTTTTATTTTTTTTTATTTCATTATGGTAGTTTATTTTTCATTCATGAAAATAATTATATCTGATTTCTTTTACTCTCTCGTATATACTAGATTTAAAGAATTCAGAACATTTCCCATAATCTCCTAAATGTTTTCTTATCCCTAACGTGTGCCAGTTATTATATGAAACTGAATAAACTTTATCTTTATCTTTACACCTTTCATCACTTCCAATATATTTATATCTCAGTTTTGATTTAGTATTTTCATAATCATTAACGTTTAATAATTCACAGTCTTCCTTTTTAAATTGATGTTTAAGATATTCAGGATTTAATACTCTACGTTTATATGCTCCTAACTTAGTTCTAAAGGTTTTTCTACAAAATTTAGGAATTCCATCCTCTTTAATGTCATCAATGATTTCCATTTCATTATTTTCAATTTCTTCTTCTCGTTTATGAGGTCTTTGATTATGACTCCATTGATTCCATGAAATTAAATATTCTTTATCATTATATTTATACCTCATTAGCTTATTTTGGCTTTCATATTCATTTAATAATTCACAATCTTCATTTTTAAATTGAAGTTTAACCCATTCAGGATTTAAACAATGTTTAATTAATCGCGGAATATCTGACATCATCTATATATAGCTTCTTTTATAAAAGATAAAAAAATAAATTATTTTAAAATTAATGTTAATTTTTTAATGATTTATAAATAAATATATTTTAATGCATCGTCTATATATAGTTGTAACAAAAAAAGTCACACAACCCTTCATATCCTACTACTATTTTAATATTGTTTCATTTTGTGTAGATTGCTCGATAATGAAATGTATCAAAAGATTCATTGAATATGAGTCAATGGAAAAACTTAAATCCTTAGGGATATCCAAAATAAATCTTAATAAAGAAGATTCGTCTTGAAAATTAGCTTCCGAAAGTTCTATTTCAGTCGGAGCTGGAAGATTCCGATCATTTATGAATCTCGAAACGACAGAAAATTTGTATTGTTTATATTTCATTATTCGAAATGATAAACTTCAAAATCTAAAATTTATTTTTTACAATATATTTCATCCTATTGTCAAGGCTAAATTTTTCACAGGAAGTGTATCAAAAATTGATAAGATTTATGGTGATCTAATTATGACAATTCAATGCATCTCGTGATATATAGCAGATATAAACACAACTGATATTGCATAACTAATAATTGAGTCAAATAACTAAATTATGTGTTATATTTTACACATATTTCTTCAATTTTGTAATAAATGGATGTTTAACACTAATTTTTTAAGGACTTCGACTTTAGCATCACATAAATATGTTATTTTCTATATTAAAACGTAATTTTGGTGGTCTTAGAATAGAAAAATATGCAATATTCGTGGAGATAATGAGGGTTCTTAAACATGTTCTTAAAAATAAATAAAATAATACAAATCTTTATTCAATCTTTTGATATTGTTGGTCCTCTCTTTGTGAAAATACTTAACTTCAAAGAGTATTATGTTTTACCTAGTGAGGACCTTAAGTTTGCAAAAACATAATAAAAGTAAAATAAAAAAGATCGGATTTATCACAAAACTTTGAGTATTATAGGATTTAATATATTTTCTTAGTAGATTATAGGATTTAGTTTCTTAAAATCTAAAGTATTTCTTGAGGAAAATATAAATTGAAATTCAAAAAGTAAAAAAAATGTAAACAAATCAAATTTGAAATGGACCAAATGTTGATTTTTCATTCGTTTTCTCATTATCGAAAAAAATTTGGAAAGCTAAGAAGTCAATAACAAGTTATATAATACAACAAAACCCACATCGGATATGTTTTCATCAAATAGTCTCCTAGATTTGTTATGAAATTAAAATATCATGATATTTTAAGGGCTTTTGATTTCAATATTAGAATTATTCAGTTATGTCGTGCTAATATCAATTACTTTATACAATTAATCGTTTACAAGCTGCAAAAATCGAACAATAATTTGACTTTGTAAAAAAGTGCGTCATTTTTATTCGTTATACTTACAAAATGTAAACATTACGAGAAACATTTACATTTGTAAATGTAACAAGTAAATACATCAGATTTAAATTGTAAATGTAGTTTATCTCTCTCATCTCCTTTTTAAAAGGTATTACATACATACGAACGCATGGGTCACTCAATAATTAGCGTGATAATAATTGAGGATAGACTGTAATCGTAATTTTATTTTTGGACTTATATTTCGACATTTTGAAGTCGCTTGAAAGTCTTGCAAATGATTAAATTTGGAAAATTTGACCTAAGTCTGCATTATTTTGATGACTTAAACAATTCTATAAATCTGTTTTCCTAAAAATTTAAAAAGATATAATTTCAATTTCCTTAAATTTATGTAATTCATATATCACCAAAATATTTGGACTGCATTTCGTTTGTCTGCACCTAATTAAAGTCTAAATACCAATTAATTTTGGAGTTGCATTGCTTTTAATGTAAAAATGCACGTTTAGAAAAAGACGATAACGATTAAATTACAAAATCGATAACTACGACGATTAAATTACAAAATCGATAACCTCTCAAATGATTTAATCCTCTGGCATCTAGGATGAGCTTTGGAAGATCATTATTGTATATAATATTTTCATTTATTATATGATCTGAAGAATGGTATACTTGAGTAATTTCTATCATTTTGCTTTCATTTAACCAAGTGATTTCCGGTGTACCGTTTCTAATAAGACTCTTTAGAAACGCATAAAATTGTAGATCTTCAGCCTCAGAAGAAATAACAAAAGAGAAAAACAGAAAACAGAACAAAACTGAAGAATAAGAAGAAAAAATTGAATGATTTTCAACTAGCCGCCTCAAAAATTGAATGTAATTCAATTTAAAAGAGGCTAAAAATTGAAAATTCTTCAAGTATTTCATCATATGTCGGAAATTGAATGATCATATGATGGGAAAATATTGACTTTAGAATTAAAATTTAAAACACAAATTGTGAATGAAAACTATTAAAGCGCATAATATAAATAAGATTTTTTTTAAAAAGATAAGTCAAAATTTTTTTTGACAATTTAAAGCTACAAATACATATGTTTATCTTTGTTTAATCCATGATCATATTTCATTTTGGAAGAGGGTCTTATTTCATCTTTAATATTTGAACAATTTTACTCCTTGTTCTTATGTTAAGCTTCGTATGATCGATTCTATCTCAAATATAAATATGTGGCTTTTTCTCAAGAAATGTTGACATTTGAAATTTTTTTTGATTCCCTGGAGGAATCCTGATCGAGCAAATTTGGAGTCTCCCTCTAGGCAAGGAATGTGCAAAAGGGAGAAATGCTTATTACTTCATAAAATATCTTACGGATATGATTGGATATATAGGTCTACTTAGTGGAATGAATTAAATTGCGTTAATGTAAAAAAATGGAGTTATGAACTCATAAATAGTAAACTTATTTATTGAAATTAAGCCTAGATAGATTTTAATTAAAAATTGGCAATTCTGAATTAAAAAAATTATGATATTAGCCATTTGTCTTAGAATTCTCTAGTGACCCTATCCTCAAGATTAGATGCAAATTGGAATCGGGAATCCTAGTTTTACAACCTTTTTCTGAAGCTGGAAATGATGAAGGAATATTTTTATTACGGGCATATTCACACCCCAAAAACAATTTTTTAAAGAACGATAAAAGACAATTCTGTAATGGAAAATGCTCAAATAACTTTATGATTTAATTGCTTAGTACATAGGATATCAAATAACCTTTATAATGGTAATACTATGATGAACAAATGCTAAAATCTGACTCGGTTATAATCAAATTTTTGATCTCAGGGAAATTGAAAAAAAATTGAGGTATTTCTTCCGAGTGCTTTTTTCAAAGATGTCGGATAATAAACACGACATTGATTAATATTAACTTATAATGACAGTACTCATGTTCACCCCCAAAAAACAAGGCATTGGATTGAGAGACCTGTACCAAAAAAACATTCAATAATTCAAATTCGAAAGAAAATATTTTAAATCAATTATTTGCCTTAACATGTTGTGATCAAATATCGGAATATTTTCATGGCAATTTTTTGAAAAAAATTTCAGTTTAATTCAATTGAATTTGACAGAGATTTTGAATTTAAATCAAATATAATATTGGAATCAATAACCTATTACTTTTCAACCCGTCTCATAAAATGAATTGGTCGTGATTTTTTTTTTGAATTTAACATACGGTAGATTCCTTTAATATTGAAATCAAATGCCAATCACATGAATAAATCTGAACAAAAGTATAAAAGGGTGAAAACGAAATTTTTAAATTTGATGAAATTTGATTATTCAGAAAGAATAACAAAGCTTTAGGAATAATATTACAAATATTAGTTCGAAGCTTGTTTTGCCGCTTCATATTCTTTAAGTTTCGATCTGAGTTCCTGAATCTCTCCATTTTGTTTATCAATTGTATCTCTGCAGTTTACGAGCTCAGAAGTCATCTTAACAAGTTCTGTGTTCAGCCGCATGATATCGTTTGTAAGTTTCGCTCTTATTTTCGGTTCCATTTCTTCGTCATATTTTAGTCTCGGAATAGATAAGGAATTGAAGCGTTGTTGCATTTGATTTCTGAATAATCCCATCGATTTAGGCCTAGGTAATGGTGCTAGTTGATCATTTTCTCTAGGTGGTGAATCTTTTTTCGGAGTTGGCGGAATTGGTGGCATTTTGATCTGTCTCTTTGAAGGACTCAACTCTAAAAGTGTAATCAGAGAGTCTTCTTCAGGGGCATCTTCTTCAGCCGGTGCATCGAATACAAATAATTCTCTTGAGGAGTTGAAGTAACTTTTAAGTGAATTAAGCTCGAGATCTTTGTTTTCAACTATACTTTTCATCTTAGAATCGCGATCTTTCATGTAATCGAGTTCAGATTTAATATCCTTAATCATTTGGACGTGCGCATGAAGAATTTGATCATATGCTTCGAGCTGATTAGCATCAAGCTTTGTCTTTTTAGTAAGTTTCTCGAATTTATCATTTACGTCTTCGAGTTCCTTTGAAATTTTCTTGTTTTTCTTTTGAACTCGCTTGGCATCTTTAATCGATTCATCATAGAATTCCATAATCTTTTTCATGAAGTATTTAATATAATCATTGTAGAAACGTGACTGGAGACAATCAGATAATAAAAGAGATATTTTTGCGGCTTTATTCGCATCCCAACCAAAATTAATCTTCCAGTGTTGAATCATTTCAAAAACCTCAACCGGCTTGAGTTTTCTTTTGGCCTGTTCTAATAATGATACTGCTTGATCAATTGTTACGTGCATATGATCCATAATCTTGCATACCTCGGCTAATTTGAACTTGTTGAAGAATGATTTATCGGCAAGGTACTTGTCAATATTATTTGCATAGTCTTGATAGCCGGATTTAAACATTGAATAAATGAAATTCTTTTTTTCTTCTCAAAATATCTCAATAGAATTGAAAATAGTGGTCACATTTTTAATTTGAGAGGTTCACAAAATGATTACATAGTTGTAATTGAATTAAAGTACTTCATGGCCTAACAGATTTTAAAAATCAAAGAACCCGAAAATTTTAATAGTTACAGTTTTTGGAGATTCGTTCACTATTACCATCAGAACGCACAATAAAGTCTATAATACAAAGGAAATACTATTCTAATTCATTCTTTCTTTGGAAAATAGTAGATCCTTGAAATAATTAATAAATACAGAGAATAATTAGTTAGCAGGCAAGATCTTGCAAACAAATTAAAGGAATGCTCTTTTTTGAAGTTCTGATAAATAAAATTTAAAAATAAATTAAATTATCAGGCGCTACACAATGAAATTTTCTAAGAATCAATCGATTCAGCAAAAAATTACAAAAATTTTCGCCAGAAAACAGATTTATTTGAACTTAAAACTACATCTATCAGTTATCTACATTAATTTTTATATTGAATACCATTGACCATTTTTTCAGCTTCTCAATTATTGATAGTCATTTTATGCTTGTAAAATTTAATGCAATCAATTAATTTTTGGATTATTACTGCTCACATGCAAATTAGACAAATACACATTTTATTTTTATAAAATTCCTTTCAAAAAATAACTCCGCCAGATTGCCTTGGAACAGTTTATTTGTTGTATCCCATGCTGTAACAGCTGTGCTATGCACAGTGAAATAATTACTCCTCAAAACTTGTTATAATATTCAGAGATAAAGTAGATTATTCAAAATTGAATAAAAATTTATCGTTTTTTTAACATTTTTGGAACTCCAAAATCAGTCATTAATTCCTAATAAAGCTAGAACACGAATCGGGCGGAAAATTCTATCTATTCGACCTTATTGTATACAGGTATTAAACTTTAATCTGATAAAATATTTTTCTCCACCAATTTAGGCCTCACTGAATCCAAACACCTTGCTTATTTTATTGCATATTCATCTGTATTGGCTAGTTTAGAGAAATTTTCCCTATTTACAATTGGCTTGATATGATATGTTTATTCTTCTATGAATATATCATGCAATTTCATTTCAATGATTATGATTTGTCAATGATTTGATTAGAGAACAATAATTTTGTGAGTTGATAAAAATTTTGTATTTTAGATTAGCCAGAAGCGTCCATAGTACGATGTATGACTGAAGAAGCACTCATAAATTGAAAATATACATTGGTATTATTAGAGATAATAAAGAAAATAATTTTAATAATTTAACATAGGTTAAACAATGGTACTGTAAGAAGTTCTGCTGAAGTGGTAGCAATTGTTACTGTTTGAGCATATCTCCTTAAGATATTTGATAGATTCTTCTTGCACTCTATTGCTGTCAAATTTGGCTGGGTCTTCAATGTTTTCATCAAGTTATATGTGAACATTCCTTGCTCTTGCCTCTCAGCAATAGTCTGTTTAGCAGTCTGCTTGTCATTAGATGCAGAAACACTGATGATTCCATTTGGAAGACTTCTGCCATTGACATTTCCTCCTTGGATATCCCAAATGCTTCCACTGTGGCAGCAGTCGCTAATAAGGATGACTTTGCTTTCCTTATTCTTATGCTCGATCAGACAATCGACCAAAACATCATCAATGACAGTTCCATCAGTGAAGAACATGGCTTCATCATATCCATCATCTTCATCGCCATCTGTATCAACAACACTTGTTCCATGTCCGACATAGTAAACAGCCAATTCTCCTCTGACATTATCAAGGAAATAATTTAATTTTTCCAAGAATGGTTTCTTCTTAGAATCAAGAATATAATAGACTTGATAGCCGTATCTCTTGAGACATTTGGACATGTTATAACCATCATTCATTGGTCCATCTCCTAATGAATATCTTGTGCCAGTATAGCAATTTATGACGACAAATCCAACTCTATTCATTTGCTTTGGAAGCTTGGAGATTGGAATATTGGTGATATCTGTGCCAACCTTTTGGATGTTCTTTCTAGAGCTCATCTTCGAATAATGAAGTATTCCAGAGTTTGAAACACCTATACAAATTTTGAGAACTAAGGAGATAATTGAATGCTTCATTTTGATAAGATCGCCGATTATTGAAAGGACATCAAATATCTTTTCATTATAAGGATGAACATAAAGTATGATCAAACAAGAAATTTTAGGTATAACCTTTTAAAAACTAAGGCAATTTATGATCGCTCTTCAATTTTTTGATAAGTTGAATTGATTTTTTATGAGACAGATAGAGTTCAACTATCTTGAGGAAGAACAAGGCTCATACAGTTAATTCTAATCTAATATGATTTCGGTAATTTTATTCATGAAAAATCTTAACGTGCTGCTTTTATCAAAATTTTCATGATCTTAAATCTTTCTACAAACAATATTCCATTCTCAAAACATTTAATAAGTGAATGCATTGAGCATAAGTTCTTCAGCAATAACGAATTTTCTGTAAAATTCATATTAAATATCATCTTTTCTTCCAGATATGACATGATTATCAGCTGTACAATAATATTTATCTACAATAATGGCAAAGAAAACAATAATGAACATCTACAGTGGATCCAAATGCACTGAATTTTCAATTTTTCATCCTATTCAACGAATTTGAAAGAACTCTGGAGGAAAATATATGAAGGTTTGACTTATAACTTTGCAAAAATCAAAAATAACTTCTATATAAATATTGATGCAAATAAAAAATTGATACAATTTGAATTCCATTATTGATAATTAACTTATTACTATGCTTTTTCTGACTTATATATGCTTTGAAATATTCAAAAATGATTGAATTAGTTTCAGTTTTGTCCAAATTGAAAATATTTCTAAATTATGGCAATTGTCATAATTGACAAACTCAGAAATTATTTTTTGCAAGTGTGAATATTTTATATTGTGTTTAAATACAGCACATGTCAATTTTGTCATTTTTTTTCTCAATATTCATTAAAGAGGAGGCAATTAATTATAAAAATAAATTATATTGTTGCTTCAAAGATGAATTCTATTTACCAAGCTTCATGGATCGACAAATTTCCAAATTCAATTTTTTTTTCTGATAAAATTGAAGAGATCAATGCTCAATACACTATACATTGGAATGGAACTACGGCAAATGATAATAATTAAAGTTTTTAGTAGGTTTTGCAATTTTGATATTAAATTTATCATGATGGCTCTTATCAAACAGAATCAGAAAGATATAGACTTGATTAGGCAAATTCTGCATCACGAATAATATTGATTGAACTGAATCAACGTTTATTTATATTTCCTAATTCCTTTTAAAATATATTCAATTTTTGAATAGATACGGGTAATTTATTGTAAAAGAAGGAGGTTAAAACCGAAAAGTAAGTTATTCATAAATATTGATGGTTATTAAATATTTCAAAATCAATCTTCATTTTAACAGCCCAAATTTTTGAATGCATGACCAAATTACTCTCAAATAATTTGTGTGAGCTCTCCAGCCAATCAAAAAATATATGTTCGTATACATTTTTTTATTTTAAGATTAGAGAAATTATTGAAAATTGAATTTCAATATTTCCATCGTAAAAAAAGTTTATCTAAATGTTGCTATATCAATGAACAGTGATTGTGAATCAATATTAATCTTAATTGTTTTTTTATCTATTCAATTTAATATTTTTCTGAAACTTCAGCGACCACTATCAAAAAATGGGTTTAGATTATGCGAAAGTTATATCTGTTGGTATGGCGCTTCTTACAGAAATGATTATAGGATTCCTATTCGTGAAGCTTAAACTATTAAGCGGGAAAAAAGTTCCAATGCTCAACAAATTTTGTTATCAAGCAATGTTCTTCCCTTTAGTTTTTCGATTTCTTGCGAATAAAACACTTTCCGAACTAGACTTTAAGCCATTCGTCGTATTAGCTGTAGGTTCTCTCTGCACACAAGTCCTTTTGCTATTATTATTCCTTTTTCCTTTCAAAGATCGTGCTGAAACATACATAGCTACATTTTGGCCATCATTGTTTGTCAATTACGTCATTGTGGGTATCCCTATTTACAATTCTATTTGGGATCCTAAAAATGTTATCATTGTCTCAATTATCACATTGAGTAACGATGTTATTACAACTCCTGTATACCTAATTGAATCAGGTGTATATAATTTATTCAAGAGAAACAGGATTCATCGCGAAAATGGTGAAGAAACAGAAAAATTTTCTTTCAAGATTTTCTTGAGCATTCTAAAGCTTCTCGCTACTTCACCAATTATTCTTGGTGATTTATGCGGCTTTATATGTGCATGCATTGGAAAAGGTGTTCCAACTTATTTACAAAGAATTATGGACATTGTTGCTGATGGTGTCCTTGGTTTAGCACTTTTCTGCGTTGGTGGATTCCTTGCAAGCCATTCAATCATTGCTTGCCCATGGTGGCAGTTCATTTTTGCACTTGCCATCAAATTTATTGTTTTTCCAATTATTGTTGGTTTGATTGCTTCAGCATTCAAGCTTAGCCACACTCTTTGCAGATGCTGCACTGTCTTATCTACTCTTCCTACAGCTTCATCTTGTTACATGATGGCTCAAGGAAATGGGTTTGGACAGGGAGTTTCATCAACAATGATCTTTTGGACAATGGCACTATTCATACCAGTCGTTCTTGCCTGGTTCGCTGTGCTTGATGCCCTCAAGATTTTTGTTGAATAACTTTATATTATATATTTGTTTTGTTATTTTTGACTTATGGACGCGTTATTAATAAAACTTATACTTCTCTATCAACGCAATTCTTATTTGCTTTGAATTCTCTCTAAATTAATCTTATTCATGCGTTGTAACGAAATTTCCAAAAAATTTTACTAACGAATGGCGAAAATTTTCTATCAAAATGAGCTCAATATCAAATCACCAAGATTTCCTCATTCAAGTAATCCTAGAAGGACTCACAAAGTTAAAATTGTTTCGCCTGAAGATGAAAAATCAAATGATTCGCCAATTGAAAAATTTTTGAGACAGGAGTTGCCTAAATATCATAGTGATTCAGATACTGTTAATACATATCAGCGGGCTTTTGATATGCTAATTCTTCAATTTCAAGCCTGTCGACCAATATTAGAACAAATTAAACAAGAATACGATACTTATGCAAACGAACTTATCAAGACAAGTAGGGATATGGTTGCAAACTTACAGCCGGAAACTTCTGCTGATGATTCATATGCTGAAGTTATTAATACCATGCGACAGTCAAAAGAACACGAATTTGCAGAATTTAAAGAAGAATCCGAAAGAAAATTAGATTTGCTTACAACATTGCGCCTTAAACACAATGAGCTCGTTGGACAAATAACTTCAATCAAAAATGAGTATGAATACATTCAAAATGAGTTGCAATCAAAGATCCAACAGATAGCTGAAATAACCAATCATACAAATCAACTTTCTATGGATACAATGGCATTTAAATCAGAACTAGTTAATCTTCAAGCGGAGTTCGATGAAAGGAAGCAAGAAGAAAGCCAAATGCTGCTATCAATTGATGTTCTCAATGATAAAAAGAATCAAGTAATGAAAAACACCGAAGAAATGAAAAACGAAATTGCATCAATAGCTTTGCAAAGAGAAAAGGTAAGTGAAGAGATTAGATCTGTAAGATCACAATTTGATGATGTTAAGAACTTATTTGTTGAAGTTGGTTTAAAGAATCAAAACATGGATCTTAAGCTCAGCAACCAAGCTGAGCGCATTGCTTCTTTGGAGCAAGAAATAAGAGCCAAAGTTGGTGATCAAACAACCCCTATTGACGTATTATTATCGAAATATATTTAGTTTACCCTTTTTGTTTGTATGTATTAAATCATCATGATTTTATTTAGTGCTGTTTTTATAGTTAAAATCACTCCAATTTCAAGATTTATTTATCCCCCGGTTTATTTTGATGTCCCCCCTGAATTAAATGTCTAAAGATTCCTTTCCATCAGTTCTCAGCAGAATTGATGATATTATTGAAGAGTTAGTGTTAGTACATGAAATTGATGACGGAAATTACCGCATTCTTCAATCAATGACAGTCCGTTTACGCGATTCTGACATGGAAAATTTAAAAAGAATACAAACATGTTCGGATTTGAAAAAAGCTGTTACTCAAGTAATGGCTTACTCAACTGTTTCAGACCAAATATTATGCAATTTCCAAAATCTAAACAAAAAATTCGAAAAACAACTTAAAAACGTATATAGTGACTTTAGAAATCCAGAAACTTTCAAAGAACCTGCACTCGAAATGACAATAAACGCTCTCATTGCATTAGAAGTACAAGGATTTGGCCAAGATGTTCGAAAAACTCTAGATCTTACAAAAATACGTCTTCTACAATATAAGCTGATCACTTTGTGTGATGAACTTCATAAGAAAGCATTTTCTATTGCAACATACACAAATAATCTATCAGATGAACCAGATTATTCTCAGAAAAAATTTGATGCCATTTCTGCAGAGCTAATTAAATACAAAGAAGAAGTTCGTAGATTACAGGACGAAAACAAACTACTCCACGAGCAATTAGCTGACCAGAAGAGCCGCAATGATATTTTATCTCGAACTTTGAACCAAGTTCAAGAAGAAAAGCTTAATTTAGAAAAGAAATATGGTACAGAAAGAACAGAATACAACATAAGAATACAACAGCTCCTTAAAGTCGCTTCCAGCTCAGCAGATCAAGATAATGAAATTGCTCTTCTCAGAGAACAAGTAAGAACATTAGAAACAATCATAGACAATAAGAAAGTTTAATTATGTTGACTTCTTTTATGTTATCACAAAATTATTTCAATTCTTTTTTTATTACCATGAATTTATTGTATCTAAAATAACACTATACTACATTTATTTTACTCTCAAGATTTTATTGAAATATGTTTTTATATTTTTTTTATTATTTTTGAATTCAAACAGTTTATTCTAAAAGATCATGCGACTTACAAAAATTAAACCACATTTCATCGTTTTGTTCATCATCAAATTCCATATCCAAATTTTCATTAACAAATGCAGAAATTGAAGATGGGTTCAATTCATAAGTGATTTCTATAGCATTGATAGATAATCTACAGAGTTCTGTCACTCCACTTTCAAAGGAGTTTTCAATAATCTCAATTATTCCTAAATTTATCAATTTTGAACGAAAATCATTGCTTATTATATCGGAGTTGAATAAGTTTAGCATAAAATCAGCAATGGAAGCGACATCAGAGTATTTTGTATTCAATCTTAACAATTCATGGAATATAAGGTTCTCAAACAACTTCTGCACGAAATTATCTCCGATTTTGATAATCATATCTCTTAATAAATCCAAAATATGAGGTAAATAATTATCCAGAAAATATTTTGGAGAATTGACTATTAGTTGATGACATATATCATAAAAATCTTGCTTATTGTATAGAAAATCACATGATTCATCATTTGATTTGACATATTTTGCTAACAAATCAAAGAACGAACTATATAACGTCAATCCATCATCAAGACAATCAAAAATATTGTCAATAGACATGTGCCTTTGATATTCTGCTAAAAATTCTTCACCTTTTTGACAAATTTTCAGTGAAATCGTAATAAATTTGTCTTTTGAATCTAACATACTAATAGAAATCAACATGAAATCAATATTCTCGATTGAAGAGCTTTCAATTAACTTCACAAAATAATCAAAAGAAATATCAACAAGATTAGGCTGATCTAATAAGTTCATGTTTCTAATCAATAAAGAGATGTAGTCATCATAGTAAGGATTCATTAATTCTTGATATTTTTCCATTAATTTGTAGAATAAAAAACAAAAATCAGCATAAACTTGTCGGAATTTCATAAATTCATGGTTTCTGAAGCGTGTAAATAACGATTCTGGTGGCAATTCATCTCCTTTTAAGTAAATTATTAAATCTTGAAAATAAACAGGTAACTCTAATATAATTCTATTATAATTATCAATAACATACGTAATAAGGTGTATATAAATGGTTGTTTCTGCTACTGAATGAATGTTGGGAAATATGTTGAATAAGAATGAAACCGAATCATCATCAAAGGATATTTTTTCTCTATTTGAATTCAAAATAGTGAGAGATTTATAATAATTTTGGTTATTTTTCAAATCTTCGAATGCTTTTGAAATTGTTTCTTGGAATTTTGTATCTTCAGAACCAGTATCAACTTCTTTATGCTCTGCTGTTTCTTGTTCTTTGTATTCATCATTCATTGCATTAACAAAAATATGGTAAGATTTTGATGATCGAAAGTTAAAAAATGATTTTTGACTCAGCTATGAATTCATTTATACAATGCATAAGTTAGCATTTTTATTCATAAAGGAGTAGGGTTATATTATTGATTCAACAGAAGATAGATATCATAGTTGTGTTAATAGATAACAATAGTTTTGTGATCGGTATTTGCATGTATTGCACTTCAGTTATATTGTTTATTGATAGATATGATCTGTTGTTTACCAATAGTAAATTCAATTGTCTGAGCTAAAGAAAGATTGAAAAGCGGTCTTTCATACATTATTCCTCATTAAGTAGTCTCATATATAAAGTTCTACTTCATAGAAATGGTATAAAAATTCAATCTGAATTTCATTTGATTATCTTTTGAGTGATTCAGTCTGATACATATCATTAAAATAGTTAGCGAGAATTAAGACTTGGGTGCATATAAGGAATCGCTTTAGCATCATCTATTGTTGCTTCGATTCAGATTTTTCAAAAATTAATTGAGTTCGGATTAGATATTGACTGTGCTGCAAAGGAACCAATATTTTGCTGAAGAAATGCGATTATTTTAAAATGCAATTCAAAATTTCAGAAAGTTCAAATTCTGCTCTGTCAAAATGGCACAGGCTCTCTATGATTTCATCAGCTCAGTGAGAATGGCAGACTCGATAGAGCAAGAGAAATTCTTAATTGCAACAGAACAAGCACAAATTCGTGCTTCTATTCGCAAATGCGATCCAGATTCGAGGCCGGTCATCGTTTCTAAGCTTATTTTCTTAGATATAATGGGTGAAAACCCTACGTGGGGCCAAGTTGAAATCATTAACTTGATGAGTGACGAAAGATTTTCTTACAAAAGAATTGGTTACATCGGAGCTCAAATATTACTTGACGAAAGCGGTGAATTATCAGTACTTGTTACTCAGACATTACTCAAAGATCTTACAAATCCAAATCCGTACATTCAATGCCTTGCTTTAACCTACATTTCAAATCTTGGCTCAGAAGAAATTTGCCGTTCTGTGGTAACTGAAACCGAAAAATTGCTGAGATCGCCAAACAGAGATGTCCAGAAGAGAGCTGGTATGGCAATGGTTCGAGTTTGTACTAAAAATCCTGAATTATGTGATACATTCAAAAATTCCGTTCAAGCTTTACTTAATAACGGCGACCATGGCGTTGTCATCTCAGGCATGAACTTAGTTATTGCTATGATCAAAGCAGAACCAAAATTAGCAAAATCTTGGGCTTCTTTCCATGTTCCATTCACAAAAATCCTCAGAAACCTCGTAGAATCCAGACCAAAGCGAGAATACTCATCAGGAATCTACAATGACCCATTTATGCAGATAAAAGCGATGCAAGCACTTTCATTACTTCATAAAAGGTCAGAAGACCTTGAAACCATACTCCAATCGATCATATCTTCTACGGAATCAAGGAAAAATACAGGCAGAGCCATTCTTTATCAAGCTGTTGAAACAATTGTTTCAATTTCAAAGAAATCATCATTAAAAGGCCTCGCTTTCAATCAAGTTGGTCGTTTATTATCAATACGTGATCCAAACATCCTTTATTCTGCTTTATCTGCCTTTGCAAGGATTTTATACAACGATGAAATGGTTATTCAACGCGGATCAGCAGATTCAATGGCTCTACAACGATACAAGACACAAATTATCAATTGTTTGGACCACAAAGACCCTTCAATTCGAAGACGCGCATTAGACGTCATTTCTGCGTTAATTGATGAGAAGAACGTGGAGACATTGATACCAGAAATCCTTGGATTCGTAAAATACGCAGATGCAGAGTTCAGAACTGAGTTAATTTCGAAGATATTTTTGGCCACACAGAGATTCGCTCCAAATGTCGAATGGAACTTCGATACAGTACACCAGATCCTTATTGATAGCGGAAACTACGTTTCTTCAGATATAATTAGCTCATTTTGCGAATTAATCACAAAAACTCCGCAGTTGCAAGTACATGCAGTCAATAAACTATCAGATTCATTAATACACTTCTCAGACAACCAAGCTCTCAGCCAAGTGGCCGCTTTCGCCATTGGAGAATTTTGTATTTCGGAAAATCATCATGATAAAGTCACTTCTCTTCGCCAAATCCTTCGTATTCCGCAGACAACAGTTGAAACAAAGCTGTATATCATGATGGCGCTCGCAAAACTTGCTGCAAGATTCGGAGATGAAAGAAATGAAGTAATAGAAATCCTCAAAGAGCAACTTTCATCGAACCACCTTGAAGTCCAGCAACGCGCAGGTGAACTCGCTAAGCTGCTTTCCCTCGGACCAATCTGCGAACAACTTTTAGCTCCAATTGCAACAATCGGAGACAGCGAAATCGACGAAAAGTCAGTCAGCATCGATACATCTGCCAAAGATGATGTTGACCTCCTCGATCTCCTATCAAACTCCGCTCCGGCCCCTCAAAAACAACAAGATCTATTGGATTTGCTAGGAATTTCAAATAAACCGCCAAATCCCTCTCAAAATATTCCATCAAATCCAAACCAAGTAATTAATCAGAATATGAATCCAGTATCCAATGCAAATGCAGTTCCTCAGCAAACACAGCCTGTAAGAAATGCATTTGAACTTGGTCGGATACATGATGTTGTTTTCTACGGCCAAACTATGATAAACCAGAAGGATAAGAGGCAGACAGCGCTCCAGATCATCTCTGTCTCTAGTTGCGACAAAGATTTGAATAATTTCCAGATAAATCTCAAACCAGCCAACGCTTGGCAGGTCAAATCAACACCTCCGTCAGCGAATGTCTTGAGAAGAACTTCTCCTCCTGTTACTCAGACATTTTACCTCTTCAATCCGAACGGATCTCAACCTTCTATAGAAGCTGTTGTAACTTACGTGTTCGGATCAATGCCAGTCACTGAGAAGTTTGTAATAAGTAGACTTCAGTAATATATTACTGTTTTTTTTATTTGTTTTTATTTATAAAAATTAATAGGATTTGAAAACATCAATTTTTCTCATATATGTTAAGATGTAAGTTGTATTTGATTTTAAAAACCAAATTTATATAAAGTATGCGATCTTTAGCCAATTTGAAAAATTTTATTGAAAAATATTTATAACAATTAATGATTGCACCGATGAATGACATTTCATTCTAGTTTTCGATGAGATCAATACATTGCCCCAGTCCACATTCCTATATTTACCACTCAAGAATGCCTCTTTGAAAATTTGAATTCGAGTCGATTCAAGAGCACTCAATGGAGCTAAATCCATATAGCATCTATTTCATAGAATTTTAAGGGTGCACCCGTATGTACGTTTATTTGAGAGGAGGAGGATTACCCTCTCAATTTTGAGGGATTCGTTAGTTTATTTTCTCGATGAATATGCAATAAAATTTGATTTTTACCTTATCAATATACTTCATATAATATACACATGTTCATGTAAAAACTTTTTTCCAAAATCCTCAGGAATTAAGGGATTTTTGAATTTTAAGAATTTTTTTCGAATTTTTTCGAAAAAAAAAATATTTTCAGAACAGCCTTAACGGCTAAGATTTAGGAACAATGTTAAGTATCAAAAAGAAAGGAGGTCTGATATAGACAACATATATCGTTGAAGGTTGAAAAAATCTCTAATATTTGAGCCCAAAATTTCAAATTTTAATTTTTTGAAAAAAGAGGCCACCCGTATGTACGTTTATTTGAGAGGAGGAGGATTATATTTTTGAAAGGGTGAAATATTATGAATATGTTAATTATATAATAATATGTATTATTATAAAAAAGAAAAAATAAAGCACGTTAAAATTTTTCTTTCTTGATTTTTTACAAAATCTACTTAGAATTATGCAAAATATAACTAAATAATTATAAATTTCAAGTTAAATTTTAATTTTGATAAATAATTTAAATTTCAAAATACCAAGTTCAGTTCGACTATGTATGTAGTAATTCCTCAATAAAGTGCCAAAACCCTATTAAAATATATGAACATTTTCAACATTTTAATGTTTTTATTTAAAAATTTGTTGGAATATGAGCTTCAAACAATTATTATGTAAATAAAAATAATTAAATATATGTATTTATTCGTATTACAACCGTAGTAAGTCGATTCTTCCTTTCTTCTACTGAGTTTTGAATTTGATTTCGAATTGTAAAGAGATTCAAAGGGAAAATACTAGCGGAGAAAAACTACCTCCATGAAAGGGTCATAATGGACTCAAGTTGTATTTTTTGATATTTTTTGCTTTTCGAGCCTAAATAGGTAGCCAAGATAATGCCTAAAATAAGGTTCTAAATTCTGAAGTTTACATGATCCTCTCGTGTGCACCCTTAACAATTTTCCACAAAATGTGGATTTTTTATTTTATTTTCGCCACAAAAAATTGATTGATTTAAATTATCTCCCTTCAGACCTCTCTTCTGATATCCAAAACTCAGTAGAGTTGATCAATCACAAGAATACAGTTATTTCAGCTAGTCCTAGTTCAATAACTAATTTAGTTTTTGTTAATAAATCATCAGAATTTATTTTCGGATATTTAAACTTTAACACTACATTGGTTTCGAAAATCAAATGGTTATCTATACATAATTGCGATTTGAATTTTTGGAAAGATTTTAATCAAAATGAAAATAATAATTCCAAAAATCACAATGTTGTATTTGAAGAACTTCTTGGCATTGATTTACGTTCAAATAAGTTTTTTGATTTCAATGATTTTTCTATTTTGCTTGATCCAAAAATTACTCCAAAATTACGATATTTCAACATTCTTGATAATCCTATATCAGAAAATGCTGAGAAATGCTTCTTAGAGATCTTCAATATGCGTAACGATCTTATACAAATCAATAAAATACAAATAACACCACAACATTATCGATTATTAAGACATATAATCAGAATTAGAGATTTTGCAGAACTTCAAATGAAAGCTGCCATTCGTACACTTCCCAATGATTACTATTGTCTCAAACCTGGAGGGAAGGTGAACAATGTTATCTATTTAAACAAAATAACTTTCCTTGATCTTAGTGGATGCGGATTAAAATACTTTCGTCTTAGACCATTCAGTGAATTAATCTGTCTCATTCTAAAAGATAATAAAACTTTGAGAGACATTAAATATTCTGATGGGTATAATTCATATAATCCAAGATCTCGATCGAAATTAAACTATGTTGATTTAACAAATTGTGTGAATTCAAATGCGATTGCAAATGATTTATATAATATTATACCAGGAATTCAGGTAATAACAGGTCAAACTCAAATTACAAATATACCTGAGAACAACTCAACAAATCATATTGAAACAGTAAATAATCCAGAAATATTTGCTTTGCAAAATAATCAAAATCGTTATACAAAGGGATCTGAACTACATGAATGCTTTGATTCGAGTAACCTTGAAGAATTAAATTACTTACAGGAAAATTTATTCGAAGAGATGCTTTCAAGAATATCATTTGTTGTTTTTACTAACATTGATAGAGAAGTTACAGCAATCAATCCGATTATCGAAGAAGGGGAATTCATAAGCGAAGAAGAATTCGCAAATAAAACAACTGTTTACAATGAGTCTTTGCAAGTTAAACCATCATGTGAATTCATTGTTTGCAAAAGAGATGATAAAAATTATCAAATAATCAAGGATTATTTAGAGAAAAAGTGCGGAATGGTTATTGCTGATGAATCAAGTCAATTTGAATTTATTGGCGCAGATTTCAAAACAATGGCTCGTATTAACTATGCCGGTTATAGATATGCTCCATTTAACTACAATTTACAGTTATTTGTTATGAAAAAATTATCATTATCTAATCTCGGTCTCGGAAACGATGAATTGAAAATGATTTCTGATTGTTGTCCTTTCTTAGAATATCTTGACATGAATGGAAATCAAATTACTAGATTAGACTTTAATGGAACTGTTCTTGATAATTTGACGCACCTAGATCTCGGTAATAATCACTTCTTTGAAGATGGAACTGATTATCTGGAGAATCAATTGAAGTTATTAAAGTCTCTCAAATATCTAGTAATTGAAGCTAGTTTTACGAAAGATTATACAGAGTTTTTCAGAAAGTTTAGAGAAATTGAGGTATTAAACACCATGAACAATCCATTTCCATTGTCTCCACCAGAACGACTTGCAGTAAAAATGCTGAATTTTGAATCAAATAATATGGATGCAATTGAAGTTAATAATAAATTAAGCATTTCCAAGAATAATACATTTCTTACCATAATGAATGACAACTTCACATATAAAGATGATTTATTCGAAGATTCGAAATTTCGGCGGTATAAAGTAAGGAATAATGGATCTAATTTTGAACAAGTTGAAGCTGATGAAGAAGATAGATATAGAAATCCTCAAGGTAATAAATCAGATAATTCTTCATTTGAAGTAACAAAGTTAACAGCATTTTTAGACTATTTCCTTGTATTCTTTGAGAAGGCGCAGTACATTAGATACTTTACAGCATCAAATGATTGGTCATCATATCCAAAATATATTCAAGGAATCACGTTCACATTGTTTACGTATGTCAATCAATTTTTTCTATTCTTCAGAAACGCAAGATTGGTGTTGCCTTTTGATAATTTTATTGAGTTCTTTTGGTATGGATTACTTCCAATTTTCATGATGTGGTTCATGCAGAAACACATTTCCCATTCGAAATTGATAAAATATTATTCAATGTTTTGGCATTTAACAATTTCTGTATCGATTCTTGTAATTTTGCTGATAAGTGAGTTTACTTATAATCTTGTTGTCAAAGGAACAAAATTCAGATACGAATACATTTGGTGGGTTTTGATAGACATTGCAATAAGTATATGTTCTTTCTTTTTATCAAAGAAAGTCACAAGACCAATGGAATCAAAGGAAATTAGAGAGTGGTCGAACATAAAACAACAAATTTGTTTGAGTTTTATTGTTCTGATGCAATTTCCAAGTATGGAATTCATGTTTAAGAATATGAAATGCAATCATGGATATTATTCAAGCTTTCCAAGTGTCGACTGTTCATGGAAATTGATGCCATCCTATGCAATTTTGTTTTTATTATTTAATTGTTTTGCTTATTTTTGGTTTTTCATCAATACAATTCAGCACATTCATAAAAATGCTCATAAAACTCTTGAATTGTCAGATAAAGAAAGCTATTGGAGATCCATTTGGAATTATTCAAAAGATGAAGTTTGGAGAACAATTTTCCTTCGAATTGGTTCAGATGATAGTTCAAGATTTAAAAAGTTGAATGAAAACTTCGGGAAATACAATGACTTCATGCATTATCATCTAAATCCTGCAAAAATTTTATCAGAAGGACGAACTTTCGCTTCCAGTTGGTTCGTTATTCTTGATTTTACTTATAGATTATTAGTTTCCATTGATGATTTCTTTGAATTGAAATCAATTTTCACTCTGCTTGCAACAATGGCGATTTTAGTTATTTATATCTTCATCCCTTCGAAATTCAATTTTTATGAAAGAGCTACGGATTTGATTTTCACAATTGGAACTCTTTTCATGTCTTTGTCAACTATTTTTGGTAATTTCAAACATCATTCAGCTTCATCCATTACTTTGATAATTGCTGTTGTTGGGTGGACCATTTCATACACATTCATGCTCATTGGACTGATTATCAGCTTCCTTCCAACAAGATTGGAGAAGGCAAACAGCTGGGCTATGAAACGCTGGTATACAGGTGAAAGAATAGAGTAGTATACTTTTTTTTGTAAATAAAAATACTATTTTGTATGTTTTAATTGCTTAATAATTTTAGAATATAGATCCTATTGATCTTTTTCTTCATCTTTCTCATATTTTCTCCTGTAAAACAAGATGCTTTTTAAGGAAGAATTTATTAATATATAAATCATAAATTCTTATTTATATAAGCATTAGTTTTGCTACATAATTCGATTATTTATCATACAATATATACAATATAAGGAGTTAATCATCATCTTGTTTAATTAAATGAATCAAACTCTCTATTTTCCATTCAATGTTTTCATCAATGTCATCATCAGATAAAATATCTTCTAAAATATTCAAATATTCATCAAATTCATTTTTTTGAAAATCGTTTTGGATATTTTTAACAATAATCATCAATGCATTGAGAACATGTTCTATAGCACCACGACTTTCCAAAAGAGCGAATAATGGATTTAGAAAATGTCTGTATTTGTCGGGAGAGAACTCCGAATTACTACATGTACAAATAAGATTACAAACAAAGATAGCAATCATTAGTTTTGGCTTGTAGTTTAAGTCTTCTATATTCTCTAAGAAGAAATCAAGTCCTCCTTTCATTATAATATTAGCTAATAGACTTTCATTGCACATCAAACATTTATCTAAGATATCTACAGCATAACATTGTATTCTGTTATTATTTATCTCTAATATTGGGATAATAATAGAAATAAGTTCATCATTGATCAATCTGTTGGAGAATTCAACATCATCGCCATCAAAAATTGCTAAAATTGGTAATAATGCAGATGATAAAAATAATTCTGTAATTAATTGATTATTTTCATCATTTTGATCATACTCTTTTGCATTATTTGTGAATTCAACAATAATTTCAAAAATATCTTTGAATAAATCAAGTTTGAAAAAATGTTTCAGAATTTCATGAACAGTTGAGTATTTTCCGATCTCTACTAGAAAGATAACTGCGCACTCTTTGTTTTGTGAATGAATTCCTAATCGCACGATATCAACAGCCCTTTGAATTAAATCTTTATCTGAATTTTTTGTTAAATCTTTTAAAAATTTAAGACATAGTCTGAGAAACTCTATATCTTCTGATTTTTGCATTAAATTATAAATAAAATCAAATAAATCCGAATTAATTATACTTTCTTTTAATACGATTGGATCTGTTCCGAATATATTAAAAATAGCATGGACACCATAATGCAGTAAGGAATTGTCCGCACATATGATTGAAATGATTGAATTTATAAGTGTATTTGTTAATAAATAATTAAAAGTAATTCTATATGGATCTGATGCAGCAGCAAATAAATAAATTAAATAGTTATCAAAATTATTATCTCTTTGACTACTAATAAGCAGTTTTCCAATGATATCAATAAAATCAATTGGAATTACTTCTTCAATCATACTGAAATCATAGCAGCGACACTTATCACAGAGAGGAATGATATCGTCTAGATTTCCTTGACGAATTGAATTAATTCTTTCCTCAATGAAAGATTTGTCTGATTCATCAAATGCTGGTTCACCATTTGTACTATTTAAATCGTCCTGTCCCTCAGTTGATGGTATTAATTCATCTTCTTTATATTCACCTAAATTCATGCAGCCAATAAAAGGAAAATGATAAAAATAAAAAAAAAGTGTTTATTTTCTGAATTTTTATTATTATGCGACGCAGGAAAGTAAATGTAATACAGCTTCCAGTAGAAAATATAGAAAGTAAAACTATACCAGAATCCATATCTGAAGTATCTCATCCTAAAGATGAAGATTCAAATGCACAAAAACCAGATAATGATGGTAAAGCATCAATAAACTTTGCAAAAATGAATTTAAAATTCTTTGCTCAACAGACTAATGCAAGTTATTCTTCTTCAATTTCAAGTACAAATCAAACAAAAAATGAATCTACTTCAGAAACTAAGAATGACAAAGAAGATTCAGAAACCCCACAAGAGACAAGCGAGTTACAGCATTTATTTTCTCAAAAATATCATGATTATGATAATCCAAATTTTATTGGACCAAAACCAAATCCAGAAACACTTAAAAACGACATACAGAATGAAACAAAAAGCAAAGAACCAGTCATCGAAATTGATCCCCATAAAAATGAAAAATCTACTGAAAGGAAATCTCTCCAAGAACTAGACGAAGATGAAGAATTGGAAAATTTTGATTTTGGGAAATTATTCATCCAAGAAGGTGAAAGAATGATCGTTGATAACTTTTTTGGGAAGAAACAAAAAAGAACAGTAGTTGATTGGTATCCTTCTCGATTGCTCAAAAAGAGATTTTGTGAGTACATTACTCAAAACTAGTTAGATTATTTTTATATTTTTTGTTTGTATTGATTAAACTAATATCTATTAAAGCTATTCTAGTTCTTTTAATCAAATGAGCATTAACACAAACATATCAATTATACAAAATAAGAGATAGTGATAAATTCGAATATATCAAATTATAAGTAGAGAATGTGTTTTCCATATATATTCATTTTCACATTCGACTAATTTGAGAGTATTTTCTCAATGACAATGTCTAACAAAAGGTTTTTTTTAACCTTTTTAAGATATTTGTATAGACTGATGGATATTTTCACTTGTGAGGATGAAAAAAATCATGAAGATAATATGAGCGAACGCCTCTTTATACACTCAGCTAGAAAGAACAAAACCTTTATCAAGATGAATGAGGTAACCTAAAATTAAAAAAATTTCTATGGCCATACCAATGACAATAATAAATAGATCGTTGGTTATTGCTTTTAACTTTCAAAAGGTAAATATCCAATTTTGATGAATAATAATCGTCAATTATTCAAAATTATAACGTTCATTATGATGATTTAATTTAGACTAGTCTAAATGAATGGAGTTTTTTCAACAATATGTATTCGAATTCATAACAACTTTTCAAAGGCCTTTAATTCTTTTTTTGTTCGAATTAATACTATGAATTCAACATTACGTTAGGTGCTTGATGTGTAACTAGTGTTTATCGTTCAAATTTTGAGATGATACGATTAATTTCTATTCAATTATAAAGTTTTTCACAGTCATGATAAATTTTTCAACGTCTCTAATTTTCTCAAAAATTATCGTATTGGCCTTATGCCTATTTTCAATATTTTATCAATGATTTTTTTTTCATCAGATTTTTTCTGAATCAGATAAATCTGTCAATGCGGGAGGCAGCGTTTCGTTGGTGGAACGCCCTAATAAGTCCTGATAGAGATGCCTCTTCCGTTCCAGAAATCCAAGAGGAATTGGAAATGAGCGTTATCTGGTCTAATATTTCACCACTTCTTCATTCTTTATTTTGCACAGAACCCAATAAAGGAAGTTATTGGCAGAGCATAGTAGAACAACTAAAACAGATATTAAACATCAACGAAATACCCGACCCACTCGTAAACTTCCCTGATTTTGTCGTATTTTTATATAAATATCAAACAGACTTGAAGTTGGATACAATGGATAAATGCATCAATCATATTAACCAATTTTGCAAAGATAACTATTCACAGTTTTTCCTCAGACACTTTATTTGTGTCGTTTCCGACCCGAGTTTAACGATCAGAGTTTTTAATTACCTCCAAATACATCAAAATCCAAAATGGATAAAATTTATTACAGAAAACGGATCCATCGAGCGAATCATTGACCTATTTATTACGTTTTTAGAACAAAATCCAGATTCAAACAAATCTCACAGTAACTCACAAGATAATCTAGAGCTCGCCGACCTTCTTACATCACTTGTATTGCAAGCTGGACCTGAAATAACTCTGGCAGAAGGAATATTTTCCTCACTTTACGCAAGATTATTGAAATTAATTAAATACTCAAGTAACGAAGATTCTATTTCATTCTTTAGATGCATTGTTCAATTAAATCAATGCTGGCTACCAAACGCAACTCAAGAAGACGCTCTAAGTAGAATATCTTCTTTAGTTGCTTCAACAACGCAATCTCCCATTGTACGCAGCCTTGTTTTGAAGTATAGTTACCAACAAGTGGGTAAATACATAAAAGCAGACCAATTTATCGAGATTTTAATGAAACAAGCCTTAAATTCAGTTTACGAAATGCAAATACTACATGATACAGCACTACAAAGTAGCGAAGAAGCTTTACTAACAACAATGCGCTTCTTTACTCGTAAAATGACAACATCTAAAATTTATATGAGATTATCAGCATCATTTTTAGCAGATGTGTTGATAAAACTTGGTCATAACGATGAAGCAATCAAATGGTTCAAGCTTTATGCCAATGGATTGTTCTGTTTCGTTAAATTAGCAACAATTAAAAATAAATATCTTCACAGAGTGCTACAGTTACTTACAATTCTCTCAGAAGACACATTTTCAATTATCCCATGGGCCAAGCAATGTATAGAATCAGCTGCGAGCGCTTGTTCCCAATCTTTTGCGAATGTTGAATTTTTATCGAACTTTTTCCAAATAAAAAAGGTCTCAAATGTGGAGAACTTCCAGAACTTATACAAGAGACTCAGTAGCTCCACGAGTAAACTCAAAACTTTCCCTTTCAAGTCAACATCGAGTACATTAATCGAAAGTGGGTCATATCGACAGAAAGTGAAGCTCCCATATGACGTAGAAGATGTCTGTGTATGCGGTACATTACGAAACATCGGTATTCATCCTACCGCGTATTCATATGTTTATTCAGATCTACAAAAGAACAACGTAGACCAACAGCGATGTATTTTTGAGCTCGAAGATTTCATTGACTATGCCCAGGAGTTCTTAGATTCTCTCCATGTCTCGAAAGACTCGAAACAATATCCTTTGCCATCTCAATACTCCACGACCAACAAGATTCTTGCAGCCGGATGTAGGTCATTGTTGTTAGATTACGATACCCAAATTTCTGAGTACCAGATCTCTATCGTAAATGATTTCGTAAGAATTGCATGCGAATTAGTCGGAGCTGTGACCCAGCACCAGCATGTTTTCGTTAACATAAAGATGCTGCAGAGGAATATGATCAACGAGGTCAACTCTTCTCAGAACTTCTTCAGGCTGAGAAGGCAAAGAACAAAAATTGATAATAAATGTCAGCAGTTAACGAAACTTCCGCATATAAACCTTAGCGATATCAGACAACAAGTGACTGAAATAAAGAGTAGATTGGGAAATAACCCTTTCTCGCTGCAGCAAAGCGATTTAGAGTACCAATTACAAAAATATTTCAGCGCACATCCATCGCCTGAACGATATGACGTATCGGCTGTTAAAGATTTGATATGTGGAAATGTTGCGGAGTTCTTACAGAAGATATTTATGCATGAAAATTACATTTATAACAAATTGAAATTAAATTTCGATCCGATACACCAGATATTAGTTGTAGCTCTGATAAGGAATAGTTTTGACTCCGCTTACATATCAGCAGGAACTTCACAACTCGACTTATGCTCATTTTCAAAGCAAAACCAACTTTTCCTCTCAAAAGCTCCTTTGGTTCTCAAAATTCCCACTCAGAAATTAAAATTGAATACAAAGACGATGAAAAAGGCCTCAAAATTTGCAACACTTGGAGCGCTTGTAAATCGAAAGCCAATCACGATCAGCGATGTCCAATGGTACAATAATCCTATAGATATTACAAGGATTATTCTTACAGCTATCAAATCCCTTCCTTCCCTTTGCGATGTCGACAATTTGTCGCAATCTGAGATATCTGCGCTTTTACTTGGAGTAATAGCGAAGGATCCACCTGCAAATGTTGTTTCAGTGGCAGCATTCCTCGATAGATACTACCAGCTGCTTCCTTCCTTAGAAATGTCGAATGCAGTCGACAGATTTAGAGATGCAGTCAATTTACTCATCGATATGAAGGAGGTAAAGGAGGAACAGATGGAGAGAGATAATGAGATGGGATCCCTTAATGAAATAGGCCTCTCCTTACTCAAAGCTGCCGAACAAGCAGAAGAATGATTTTATTTTTTATTTGTTTATTTTAATGCGATTTTTTTGTTATTCTGTTGTTTTATATAAATTATATTTGTATTTTATTCTCAGTTTTTTTTTTAAAAAAAAAGCACTCTGTTATAATATATCTTCATTAAATGTAATTTTTAAGACAAATAATTGAACTCCAACAGATATTATTTCCAATAAGTATTTTTTCACAGAACCTTTTGCAACATCAAGAGCAGTCTCGACATCTTTATCCTTTGCTTCTTTTATCAGCTCCGACAGAGATAATTTATTCAACAACTTCAAGACAACCATTAATTAATGCAAGAAAGAGTGGCTCATCTAAAGATTTTACTTGTTTAGAATCTAATAAGAGATTTAATAAGTTCGAGATTTCTTTCTTCGCATGCTTTAAGAAGGGGATCTTTTGAAAGCTCTCAAATTCAAAAATATCAGGATTCCTAAATTTTAGAATAGGGTTCCTGGAAATCTGCAAAAAAATTTGAGAAATTTCTTAAAAAATGTCGCAGATTTTCAGGTGTACTCTAAGAAGTTCGGCTGTTTCTTTATTATTATATTTTGCTGCATAATAAAGAGCGGTTGCTCCATCATTATCTTTTTCACTGATATCTATACCATGTGAAATAAGAAGTTTGGCTGTTTCTTTACTATTATAAATTGCTGCAATATGAAGAGCGGTTGCTCCATTATTATCTTTTTCAATGATATTTATACCATGTGAAATAAGAAGTTCGGCTGTTTCTTTATTATTATAACGTGCTGCATGATGAAGAGCGGTTTGTCCATATTCATCTTTTTCACTGATATTTATACCATGTGAAATAAGAAGTTCGGCTGTTTCTTTACTATTATTACTTGCTGCAATATGAAGAGCGGTTCTTCCATATTTATCTTTTTCATTGATATTTATACCATGTGAAATAAGAAGTTCAGCTGTTTCTTTATTATTATAACGTGCTGCATGATGAAGAGCGGTTGCTCCATTATTATCTTTTTCAATGATGTTTGCACCATGTGAAATAAGAAGTTCAGCTGTTTCTTTATTATTATAACGTGCTGCATGATGAAGAGCGGTTGCTCCATATTTATCTTTTTCAATGATGTTTGCACCATGTGAAATAAGAAGTTCAGCTGTTTCTTTATTATTATAACGTGCTGCATGATGAAGAGCTGTTTCTCCATTATTATCTTTTTCAATGATATTTATACCATGTGAAATAAGAAGTTCGGCTGTTTCTTTACGATTATAAATTGCTGCAATATGAAGAGCGGTTCTTCCATATTTATCTTTTTCATTGATATTTATACCATGTGAAATAAGAAGTTCGGCTGTTTCTTTACTATTATAACGTGCTGCAAAATGAAGAGCGGTATATCCATCATTATCTTTTTCACTGAAATCTATACCATGTGCAATAAGAAGTTCAGCTGTTTCCTTACTATTATATTTTGCTGCATAATAAAGGGCGGTTTTTCTATATTTATCTTTTTCACTGATATATATACCATGTGAAATACATTCATCATCTCCTTCATTATTGTTGACTATATTTTGATTGTATGACTCAAGTAATAATCTGCAAATATCAGAATTTTTCGATTTACATGCAAAATAAATAATTTCACATTTAGTGTGATTATGTTTGTTAGAAAATGTATTGTTTTTGAAAATATCTATTGTTTGCGGAAAAACAGCACCCCATGGAAAGATGTAATATTTGTTCCTTTTGAATAGAAGAAATACGGCATTAAGGTTTTGATATCTGATGATATCTTTATAAATAGGTCTATAATTTGCATCTCCCATACAATTCCCTGCTTTTCCCCAATCCTCACCATATAAATCATCAAGCTCGAATATCTCTCTATCTAAAACATATTCAAGCAATTCGTGATTGTGTGCTCTTATAATGCTTCTGAGACAATCAATATCCATTTTATGTTTTTTCAAGCATTCGTTAATGATGTCTTGATTTCCTCCAATTACTGCGTAGCTAAAACACCTTTCAGTTATTTCACTGATTTGGTTCGAAATCAAGAAATAAAAAATGTTAACAGATCCAAAGTAGGCACATGCTTCAATTAGTGATAACTCTGCAAAAAATTTTAGATAGTGATAAGCATTGTACACAAAATTAGGAATTTTGAGAAAAATATCACCAGATATTGAATTTTGAGTTAAATATTCCTTGAACTTATCAATTTGATCATGCATAACTATAAATTTAATCGAACCCTCCGTTTCAAAATGGTAATCCGAAACTCCGGTTAGGTCAGCCCCGATCTGTTCAAGTATTTTGACATAATTCGCTCCAGATGCATAATTGTATCTAATTGCTTCACGAATTAACTTTGTAAGTTGATTTATTGTAAGTTGATACTTCGAAATCAAAGTATTTGTAATTATACTGCACATATCTTCGATAGGTTCATTAGATTTTATGTGGAAGAGCTTTTCAAGCGCCCCTATAAAATCAGCATATTGTTTTGAATAGTCAGAACTCATAATGGGGAGAAAAAAATTGACGAATAAACTGCACTTTTTTTCGCAGCCTTTAATTAAATCATATTGGCTAACTAAATTTCATATTTTTGTGAAAGGTAGGTCAACAAAAAATACGTTATTTCGCAAGGAAAAAAAATTCTCATGAACAACTTCAAGCGGATTTTTCTCAGTAATAAAACTCCAAATTTCTCTTAATTGTGGAGAGAAATTGAAGTTTTCTTCATGCATAGTAATTTATTACTTTGTATTTACATTAATTTCAGAAACAGTGTTGACATATATGCAATTTAAAATCGATGTCATTTATACTTAACAAGAATATATCCAATCGTTCTATTCTTTCAAAATATAAAGCTCTACAATGGAAATTGTATAGCTTAAAATTTAATAATCTGCCCCGATACTTTGAACGATGAAAATCGTAAGCCACTGCAATAAAATTAATCCTCAATTGTTGTATATATTGATATCTTACTCTCATAAAAATCTGCAAGACCGTTTTCGCGAAAAAGTCATTTTACATACATGCGTTACTTAGTTAGGCGATTGTTCTAACCTCAACCATAAAAATAATGCAAAATACTGAAAGTCTAGATATAATTAATAGACTCTAAATATTGCAGCTGCACTTAAAACAAGATTTAACAAATTTGTCGATATTCACTCAACAAATTGAAATTTCATCAATAAAGCAAAAACAAAATGAGTTACAAACGGGAACATGACGAATTTATCTACTAAAAACAAATTTATAACTAATATACAGCAAAAATTCTCGATTAATCCCCGAATTGCAACAAATAACTTGAAGATGTTGTTTTACGTTGCTTACAAAAGCAAACTACATAAAGTTTTTGAAATAGAACCTTTTAAATACGCTCAAATAAAAATCTATACTAATACCTTTTCTCTTTTTTTAAATAAATATATTCTCATTCATTCCCTAAAACAAACCATTATATGAATATCATGAAATATGTCATTAAAAATAAATTATAATAATAATCCAAAATATTCATATCAGATATGGGTAAAAAGACAAATTTTGGAACAAGCATCAAAAATAAATAATGTTTGTAATTCCAAAAATTTTTCATTTTGCAAATTTTCATGGAAAATTCGTATTTCTTCTCTCCATTTTCAAATTTTTGAATTTTTTTTGGAATTTTAAATGAAGAATTGAGAAACCTAATATAGATGGTTGTTATCTCATATGTGAATATGTTCGTTTTATTTCACAGTTTGGAATTTTCTCATATTTTATGGTGAAATTGAGTTTCTATCACAAGTATAGATAGCATATTTAAGGACAGATTACATGAACTTATATTTTCATCAATATGGTATATTGAAATAGGAGACGCTCAATATTACAATGTGTTTCTTAGAATTCCAAATGTATTCAAATTTCCTGAAACTACAATTTCTGTAGTTACTAGCCACATATAGGATGCAATACACAAATGTCTAGTAGATAGTATATCATTTTATCTCGCAAAATGAGTATCTTAGGAAAAATTCTAGATACTTTTTCAAAACATACAACAACGCAAGATCTATTCTGTAAAACCGATTAACAGTACAAATATGTTTATTTGCAGGTCAAAGAATCGAATGTTAATTTTAATAATATTTCCTCGAAATCGCTCTTGCAGTTTTCTTCCATTCTTCGTCTATTAGTTACCGAGTACCTACATAGTCTAAATCCATTACCAAAATCAAGAAAGCATCGTTACGATTTTGTTGACCTACCTTTTTTTTGTGACTTATTTTTGACCATTTTTGGTTGCAATTCTTAATCGTTTTTAAACTATTATCACATATCAATTTTAGTTATATTGTACTGTGGATTGATCCTTTTAAATCGCCGAAAAGTCAATGATTAAATAATTTCAAATATAAATCATGTTCAAAATTCGATTCTAAGCAGTTAATTTTATTACTTATCTATGGTTGCTAAATCTTTTCCATGTTTAAATCTTAGAGGATCTTAATATAATAAAAGCAAAACAAAATAATATGGTGATACGAACCAAAGTAACTATTTGATATTTAAGTATAAATAAAGCTATATGTATTCTAATTTTCAGAATTTAGTAAAAAAAATTCATTTATATTTTACTAAATTACTAGGAAAAGTTATATTTTGTATTGGTTTAAAAGAAATAGTATCACAATGGTAACTGAATGAATCATATGATTTCAAGTTTAGCATCGAATTTTTCAAATTTAAGATCTTGGTAGGCTCCAGTTTTAAGGAAACGGATACTTTAAAATTTAATTTTGGAAAAATAACTCTAAACAAACAAAATTTATTCAAACACTTGCTCAGACTTAAGATTAAGTGGTTCTGTTGATGCTCCAGCGCTTTCTCTCATTCCTATTCCGAGATAATTTGGATCAGACCTTGGAGTATCGAGATATAAATGCACAGGAGTATGAACAATTCCCATGACAATAGTATTAAAGTCTTCTGGTGATGAATCTGTTATTAAATATAAAATTCCTTTTCTCTTGTCAATGGCGCGAACTAAACCATATCCAATGCATTGCAGTGGTGGAATGTCCCTCAAAAGCGTTACAAGTCTATCTGTCTTGGCAAATTTCCTATTATCCAGACAAAGAGCAACAACTGAACCGTTTAAAGCCGTTAACGATTCTGTTGGGGCCACATCTGCCAAAACAAAGCCAATTCTGATTGAACGAAGATTTATTGATTTTGGTTGTTGTAAAGAGACCGGAGTTCTTGTGGTTGTAAAGTATGTGGTTATCCTAAGGTCTCTATGGTCTTTTGGCTTGATATCGAACTCTGATTGTTTTGGATAAATTTGAGCAACGAAAATATCATCTCTAATAGGCGTAAACTGTTCTGCTGGCTTAGTAAGCATGATTATATGCTCTGGATTGAGATATTCTAAAAACTTTTGATGTAATTCGAAGCCAAGATCAACAATCCAGCCAAAAGAATTGATAATAACAAATACATCTGGTGGAATATGCTGTACTATTTCTTTTAAGCAGTTCTCGAAGTGATAAATGTTATCAGCAACCGAAGTTCCGCCAAAATAATAAGAAATATCGGAGTATTTCGAATGTTTTTCAGGTGGTTCCAAAATAAATGACGATAACATAGAAAATGAGATTGATCCTGGTAAAGAAAACTCTGGTTGGCCCGGATCAATGTCTAAAAAAGCGACATTTTTGTATTTTGAGATTATTCTGTTGGCAAGGACTCTTGCGAATGTTGATTTTCCTACACCTTTACTTCCTACTATAAAAAATTTTGATGGTTTTTGTTCTAAAATCGAATCTATGTGATGCCTAAGTTCAAATGGATATGTGGCACCATGATTGATTGAAGAATAGAATATGCATTTGCTCAATTGTTCAAAACCTTCTGGTATTTTGCTTGGAAAATAAAAAGAATATTCTCTCTTCGAAATTGCGTCTTCTTGAAGTGGAACTATTTTCATTTTGAATGTTTCAGTGCATTCGAATGTAATTGGAAGTCCGTAGACTGGTGCAAAAATATCAGATATAAATCCTTTATATAATGTTGCACCATTCAATATTGGAGACCCAGAGACTATAGTTATTCTCATCATACCATAGAATGAATGAGATCCACGATTGAAGTCATGAATTTCATCACTCATGTTTTGAATGAATAAAAAAGTGACGTTTTGTACTATCAAGAATATTTAGCTCTTTGATTACATATTTTCGCAATCTGTTAAGTAAATTGTTTGTGATTTGTGCCATTTAACTTAATGCATTCAGTTCGACACTTTAATCTTTCTAATTCAATGAAATGGCAAACTATTATCAGAGATGAACAAAATGGTATGCATTATATTTCAATGTCTGCATGTGGATTAATGATGCTACAGAACAAAGAAAATGAGCACAAAAAAATTGAAAATAAGAAAAAGCGATTTTTCGGAACTTTAATTATGTTTTTCGGGAAATATTTCCTATGGAATCAAAGTTACCATTAAATTCCAGAAATTTAATTTTTGATATCAATTTTTTCCATAAAATTGAGTATGAGCGTTCCTGGAGCAGTTGATGAAGAATTTGAACTTTTTTTTGACCAAGATGTACCAATAGAAAACAGACTAGATCAATCTCCTGAAGAGGCTGAAGAGGATGAACCAGGAGATGAATATACAAACTTCTCAATCGTTGTCAATCTCAAGCAAACAGAAGACGAAGCTGAAGCTATCAAGATACAATTATATTCAAAAGATGTATTGAGCTTCTTATATGAAGGAGAAATGTCGAAGGAAGATTTCGAAAGTTTTAAAGCTGAGCAAGAGCTCGATATCGATTTCAATGATTTCCCTAATGTTTTACAAGAGGTCCTTGGTCAGATTAACGAAGATATTGAAGAAAATGGATACAACGCTCGCTTAATTCCTGATGGAGAAGATGCTTGCCACTTGATTATTAAGCAAGATCTCGATTTATGCACTACAGAAATCTTCAACATCAAACTTGTTGGTGCTGACCAAGAACGCATCAGAAAAGTTAGCCAAGCACGCTACAACGAGTTGAGCAAGCGTGACAACGCATTAAGAACACAATACAAGGACCTCATTAAGAGAATCAGACGCCAAGATCCAAAGATCTTACAAGACTTCAAGCTTAACTCTGAAATTGCTCAAAACTAATACTTATTTCGATAAAACGTAAGCCAATGCTTTCTATTTACTAAAAATTTATAATTTATGTTTTATTTTATTTTCTTATTTCCCACGCTATTTACCTTCCCAATTACTTTCGCTTCATGAAGTAGGTTTTAATTTGAAATGACAATGTCAACGATGCCATGTAATGTCGGCAAAAATATAGTGTGGTTGGAATTAAAAGCAGGACTTTGAACCAAATATACCTTATATTGCAAGTCCGAACCATAGGATTTGATTGAATCTACTTGGAAAGTTATCATGTTTGAAATCTAATTTGAAACATGAAATAATTTGAAATATATCAAGTTTTAGAGTTGTTTTCAGTACACAATTTTCATAATCACTGCATTTTTTAATAATTATTTTATCCGAAATATAATCTTGGCTGTTTTCCATATATGAAATATTTTTTTCATGATTAATTACAAAGATATTTGTAAATATGGATTGTAAATAAATAACGTTTAAATTTTTTAATGTCCAATCAAGACTTTCATGATGACACTTACGTTGAATTGAGAAGTATCTACAAATACCACATTGATTCGTATATTACATTGTATCAGTTAAAAACGGAAAAAGAAGAAGAATTAAGAGAGATTTATAAGATGATCAAAACAGAACTGATTGATTCAAAGAAATATCGCCCAGAATATATTGTAAAGGAAATTTTGTGCATTATTCCGTTTAATAACCGCTATTCAAACTCATACTTAAAACTTGCAAAATTCATTTTCGATGATTATCATGTAATAAGGGTAACAGATCTTCAAACTATTCCTAACTACTTGTTTTATAAAGAATATGGAATTAAATTAGACAGAACTCGTGGTTTTGGAGAAATTGAATTAGAAGATTTCGATATTCATTCAGGAAATACAATTTACAGAACAATTATGTATAACAACAAAGAAAAATTCATTGTATTTACGGAAAGCGAAGAATTTGATGAAGATCAAAAACTTGTCAGTAGTTTATATCCATATTCTAAAAAAGGATATTCATTACTTGAATTATGTTGCTACCATGGAGCAGTTGATTGTTTCAAGTTATTAAGAACGAAATTTGACTCAGAAATAACTAAAAAATGTCTAAGGTTATCATTTTTAGGAAGAAATCCAGAGATCATGAGTGAATGTTTGAAACATCAAAACCCAGACAAAAAATGCATGATTTATGCAATTATTTCACACAACATTGATTTTGTTACATTTTTGATGAATGAATATAATATAGAAATTGATATAAAATCTTTCCTGATTTATAATAATCTTGATTCATTTCTAGTTTATTTCGATCAAACAACTGATATTAACCAATGTTTCGTTTATTCAACAATGTTTAATATTTCATCAATTTGGGAAAATTTCCTTTCACATGGAGCGAATATTAATGCAAAAGACAAATATGGCGAAACAGCACTTCATTATGCAGCATTAAATAATAATTAAGAAACAGCTGAACTTCTTATTTCGCATGGTGCAAATGTCAATGAAAAGGATGAACGTGGAAAAACCGCACTTAATATTGCAGCATGGCACAATAGTACAGAAACAGCTGAAGCTCTCATTTCACATGGTGCAAATATCAATGTAAAGTCTGAAGCTGGAAATATCGCTCTTCATGGAGCAGCATTCATTAACAGTAAGGAAATGGCAGAAATTCTTATTTCATATGGTGCAAATATCGATGAAAAGGATAATGATGGAGAAACCGCACTTCATTTTGCAGCAATAAATAATAGTAAAGAAACAGTTGAAATTCTAATTTCACATGGTGCAAATATCAATGCAAAAGATGAAGTAGGACAAACCGCACTTCATATTGCAGCAATAAATAATAGTAAAGAAACTGCTGAAGTTCTTATTTCATATGGCGCAAATATCAATGAAAAAGATAATAATGGAAGAACAGCTCTTCATTGTGCTGCAAAGAATAATAGTAAAGAAACAGCAGAAATTCTTATTTCACATGGTGCAAATATCAATGAAAAAAATAATAATGGAAGAACAGCTCTTCATTGTGCTGCAAAGAATAATAGTAAAGAAACAGCAGAAATTCTTATTTCACATGGTGCAAATATCAATGAAAAAGATAATAATAGAAGAACAGCTCTTCATCATGCTGCAGAGAATAATAGTACGGAAACAGCAGAAATTCTTATTTCGCATGGTGCAAATGTCAATGAAAAAGATGAAGATGGAGAAACAGCTCTACATTGTGCATTATTGAATGATAATAAAGAAATAGCCGAACTTATAATTTCACATGGTGCAAATATCAATGAAAAAGATAAAGATGGCGAAACGATACTTCATTATGCATCATATAACAATAATAAAGAAATAGCCGAATTTCTAATTTCACATGGTGCAAATGTCAATGAAAAAGATGAAGATGGGAAAACCGCTCTTCATTTTGCGGCAAGTAATAATAGTACAGAAACAGCAGAAATTCTTATTACACATGGTGCAAATATCGATGAAAAGGATAATAATGGAGTCACTGCTCTTCATAACGCAGTATTAAATAATAGTAAAAAAACGACCGAACTTCTAATTTCAAACGGTGCAAATATCAATGAAAAAAATAAAGACAGTATAACTGCCCTTCATTTTGCATCATATAACAATAATAAAGAAATAGCCGAATTTCTAATTTCACATGGTGCAAATGTCAATGAAAAACGTAATAATGGAATAACAGCTCTTCATTGTGCTGCAGAGAATGATAGCAAAGAAACAGCAGAAATTCTTATTACACATGGTGCAAATATCAATGAAAAAGATGAAGATGGAAAAACCGCTCTTCATAGAGCAGCATGGTATAATAGTAAAGAAACAGCAGAAATTCTTATTTCACATGGTGCAAATATCAATGAAAAAGATAAAGATGGCGAAACGATACTTCATTATGCATCATATAACAATAATAAAGAAATAGCCGAATTTCTAATTTCACATGGTGCAAATGTCAATGAAAAACGTAATAATGGAATAACAGCTCTTCATTGTGCTGCAGAGAATGATAGCAAAGAAACAGTAGAAATTCTTATTTCACATGATGCAAATGTCAATGAAAAAGATGAAGATGGAGAGACAGCTCTACATTGTGCATTATTGAATGATAATAAAGAAATAGCCGAATTTCTTATTTCGCATGGTGCAAATGTCAATGCAAAAGATGATGATGGGAAAACCGCTCTTCATTTTGCGGCAAGTAATAATAGTACAGAAACAGCAGAAATTCTTATTTCACATGATGCAAATATCGATGAAAAGGATAATAATGGAGTCACTGCTCTTCATGTTGCATTATATTATAGCAATAATGAAATCACGGAAATTCTTATTTTAAGGTGTCTTACAAGGATAAAATTTTAATTTTTTTTTAAAGATTGTTAGATTTAAATCCAGTATCTCTAGAAGATACAGATGAATTTTTGTTAGATTTGAATATGCGTGCATATATAGATGTAATGATATTTGGTTGAAATTTCTGAGATTTTGAAATATTGAATTGTTACATACTGCTTTTCTGGCGTATAATATACTTTCTGAATATGTTTATATTATTGCCAGAATCTTCTATCAAAAGAATGAGTTCAATTTTAAATTCGAATTAACTTCTTGCTTTTTCAAGAAAACGCGAAAAGAAAACAAAATATTAATCTGAAATCCTTAAAGCTGGATATTAATATAATTATCGGAACTTTGTTAATATCCAAAGGTAGTCCAGATAAATTTTCTCACTCAGTTTTCAATTTTGCTACTGTATATATACATGGATTTGGAGCGTAATTTCGTGAGATGCAGAATATTAAATTTTGAGGAATGAGTCTGAGTGTATATTTATCATTAATGTGAAATTGAATTATTAGTTGTAGTATTGTCTTTTGAAAACTGAGTTATTATTTTTTTTTTCGAAGATATCTAACTATTGAAGATAGTTAAACGCTTCTTGAATGATGCAACAATGATGCATATGAAGTTTTATTTCTATATTAATGCAATTACCTTGAATATATCTATTTGGATATGCAATAATTTAGAAAGAATATCCCTAGGATTTTTTTTTCTAAACAAAATAAAGTATTTTTTTGCGGGACTACATATTGTTAATATGACTTTTGGGCTAATCATTTATGATAGTCCGAAAATATTGTTGATATGTGGATAAATTTAACTGTCAAAAATATACTTTACAAAATGGCAAAAACACCGACTTTACAATGACAAGATTTTTGATTCTCAAGAGTTTCTGTCTTCCAAATTCAATGTCTGGAAAAAAGAAAGGAGGCAAGAAGAAAGGAGGAGATGGCGGCTTTGGCGCAGCACTTGTCAACTCCCGTATGAAACATCGTAAGACACCAGGTGAGGGAAATCACGGTCCAACGAAATATCTTGTTGAAGATTCTTATATTGGACCAGAAGATAGACTTCGTTCAATGACAGATGATTACACATTAGGTGATTTCGTTACAGATGCAGAGCTTAATGGCAAAACATTCACAGCCATGCGTGGTCAAGTAAGAATTGTCGACAGAGCACAACTCACAAAAGAAGCATATCTCGCATTACACAGAACACCAGAACAGATCGAAGCAGAAGAGCGTCTTAAGCATCGTCTTCGTATTCCTCGTCGTCCATATTGGGATGAAAATACAACAGCAGATGAGCTCCACCAGGCCGAAACCAAGGAACTTATCGAATGGCGTCGCGCTCTTTCCATTATCGAAGAAGATGGAAATGTTACTTTATCTCCATTCGAAAAGAACCCAGAAGTATGGAAAGAATTATGGCACGTTCTCGAGCGTTCCCAAGTTGCAGTCTATATCATCGATGCTCGTGATCCACTTTCATTCTTCTGCGAAGATTTTATTTTATACATGAACGAATTGAAGCTTCCAATTCTTATATGCATCAACAAAGGCGATCTCGTACCACCACCAATTCGTAAAGAGTGGGCTCGCTATTTTGAAGAACTTTCTCATAATCTTCCATTTAAGTTCGAATTCGTATCCGCAAAGGCTCCAGGCGACGACCTTATTACACCAAGACAGCTTATCCTCAAGGCTAAGGCTCTTGCAGCTGGCCCAGGCCGCGATGGAAAAGTTACAATCGGATTTGTCGGATTTCCAAACGTTGGCAAGTCCTCATGCCTCAACTCCGCTGTTGGTCGTGTCTGTGTTCGTTCCAGCTCAACACCAGGCAAAACAAAGCACCTTCAAACAATTAATATCGAAGAAGAAGGAATTACACTTTGCGATTGCCCCGGACTTGTCTTCCCGTTATTCGAACAGTCCAGAGCAGCCATGCTTTGCAACGGTGTCATCAACATCGACCACATGACAGATCATATCGGCCCGGCCATGATTATTGCTGAAAGGCTTCCTGCCAAAGCATTCAACCTTCTCTACGGTACGCAGTTCAAGACAGAAACAGTCGATTACGAGGAACTTCTCAATGGAATTGCAAAAGTCAAAGGTTTGACGAAAGGTCTTGGCCTTCCTGATGACGCAAGGGCTGCAAGATTCCTTCTCAAGGATTACTGCGATGGAAAACTCATCCACTGCGAACTTCCACCAGGAACTCGTCTGAAATCTGTCGAACAACCACTAACTCCTGAAGAATTGAAAGCATCACAGCAGAAACCAGCTGAAGAAACACATAAAGAGGAAGAAGAAAAGCCTCAGGAGGAAGAAAAACCCAAAGAAGTCGAACTTCCAAACATAGATTTACCTGATTTGTCTTCTATCCCTGAAAAGAAGGAAAAGAAGCCAATGCAGTATCCAAACCCAAAGAAGCGTGGTGTTGTAAGAATTACATCATTAGAATAGAGATTTTTTTATTATAAAGCAATTTCTTTTTTATATCTTTATCTTTATTTATATCACAATATTTTATAGAATAAAAGAATATTTGTGTTATATTGGAAGTCAGAAAAGAAGATCAAAATGATCGTATATTTTCCAAAATTTTCTTCTCAAAAAATTATATTGGCACAGTTTCAAATAAAGGTGTTTTGTGCAGGCATTTATTACTGGTAGACGTGAATTTGATGACCTTTAAAGGTAGTGTTTTCATTAAAGAGCCACTACGTTTATCTTGAACAAGAAAAATGAAACATGGCTGGGAGCGAAAATAAGTTAATACATGATGTTGCGACGTAAGATAATTCAATAAACATTACATTTATTACATGCTAAACATTGCAAAACTGCAGATTTTATCCAAGAGATTTTAAATATCCTAGTTTGATGAATTGAGCTGATAAAACTATGTTTTGCATTTTTCAAAGATAAAGTTTTAACTCGTGTTTATTAAATATGTCAGTATTTTAAAAATAGCTTTATAAAGATAGTATTTTAGTATAATAATAACAATATATTTTATGATTTCATGAGAATTTGATGAACTGAGAAACTTGTTTTTCTTATCTTTTCATCTTGACTATTCTCGTTGAAATACATGAGAATTCTAGGAACATCAGAATTCTGCAGCATTTCACCAACAGAAGTTCCAAATGTTGTGACTAAAAATGATGTATAAGTAATGTATTTCCAAATATATGATTCATTGAAAACAGGCATTGATTTCGAGAATAAATCCAAAACAGAAGCAAATTGCCTCAAATTCAAATCTAAGAATTCAATGTCTTCTGACATGATTGCAATAAACTTTCTGTATGAGTCACTCAAACAAATGAAAATTCTAATTAACAAAGATGTATCATCTTCACTGTCGACTTTCGTCCGCATTAAATCCAAGCATTTAGGAAGAAAATCACTAGAAACTGAATAACAAAAACTTGAATCCATCATTAGAAGAGAACTTAAACAAGTAATGATTCTGATTTTATCATCAATAGTTGTGTTATCTGCGTGGAAAAGTTTTGTTACAGCTTCATACATTCCTGAAATTTCGTCCGGACATTTTTTAGCAGAAATAATAGTATCTGATAATAAAAGTGCAGCACGCGAAGTAACACTCGGGTTTTCTTCCTGTGACAAAATATCAGAAATAACAGGAAATGTCAAATCCGCAAAATTGACAATATTTTCAAAACCTCGGATCAATAAAACAAAGAGTGACAAAGCATTCAATCCTTCGATCAAAATATTCGGATCTGTCATGTTTTGTATAGTTGTTCTGACGATATCTATCATATCATACAAAAGAATTTCAAAATTATATCTCGATGGATTTGTAAATCTAACTGCAAATGTTGAGAATTCTGCCATGAAGAAAGAAATTACTAATTCTCTGTTTTTCCTTGTTACATCTGATACTTCTTCAGACAAATAATTTTTAGATCTGATAAATATCTTTGAAATGTCAAATTCTTCTGACAAATTTTCAATAAATGTAAATAAACATTCAAATAATGATGTCAAAACAAAATCATTTCTATTTTTGTCGTCATTCAAACAAGTAAATATCATTTCACAAATATTTTCGTAATATGCATCATAATCTTCACTGTTTTCTAGTTTGTTTTTCATCAATTGGAAACTTCTTTCTCTTATTATTTCATTACTTTTTTGTAAAGTATTATTAACTACTTCAATTATATTTTCTATATTTATCAAATTGTTAGAATAATTAACCATCAATGACAAAACCCATAAACTATTTTCGCAAACTCTAACATTATCATCATAGCAAAGTGCCAAAACTGTCGAAACAGAACTCTGCAAAAAATTCATCAAAGCATCATCATTTTCATCAGATTCTAATTTTGTATTATTTGAAATTAAACATGATAAACATAGTAAAGAAGCAAAGCGATCGTATGGATCAGATGAAGAAATGTTTTGGCAATAAATATCTGATAAAATAGGACCAATAATATTAGGTAAAATATTAAAGAAAAGTGACAATAAAATTTGGCAATATTTGTGAACTGAATCATCTTCATTAAAATCATCGAAATCGTTATCATCATCAAAATTCCTTATATTTTGAATCAAAAAAGGCAAAAGACTTTCATAGCTTCTTTCAATGTAATTATGAGATTCCGAAACTTCAATCTCTGTCGATGCAATTTCTATCCAAAGTTCTATAACATTAAGAATTTTATTTTTGTTATTTGACTCAAAATCTGAAACAGAAAAATTAATAATTTCTGGCAAAAAAGTGTCAATTGTGAAGTAACATTTTCTTACTACTTTGCATAAATTCCAAACAGCCAATTTATGAACTTCATCATTTTCTAATTGTAGGCATGATAAAAGGGAAACAAAAGTCTTTTTTCGAACTTCTTCCATTTCATTTACGTAAAATTCAAAAAAATTGAAAAAATTACCAAAAAGTTTCAATGATGTAATTTTCACATCAATTGGTACATCATTATCCTGAATCCAATTTGTTGTTATTTCAAATGTGTTTTGTAAAATGTCAACGAAATCAGGGTTATATTCTGAAATAAATGGAACAAAACCTTTTGAGTTTATAAATGTTTCTATTTGGTTTAATTCATTCATGACATTTAAAGCTCCAATGACAGCAAGAGCTCCTTTCTCCTTGGCTTGCATTTCTGTAAATATAACTTCATAAAAATCTTGCCAGTAGCCATTTGGAATTTCTTTTTCTGCAAATATAGCAAGGATGAAAGCACTTGTTTGTCTAATCACTTGATCGTCATTTGTAAGTAATGCAGATATCGTTTGATGAATAAAATCTAAGTTATTACTGCTGCACCAAACTTTTGATTTAATTGCATAACGTCCGTATTTGATTTTGAGTATTCGACCAATCATGACAACGCATATTCGCACAAATTCTGTTTCCGTGGAGTGTGCATCAATAAGAAGCGCAATTGATTCAATAATTGGAAGTAAAGGTCCTTGTAATAGTTCTTGCAAATGCTTGTTTGAACTTTCTCGTATATTTTCTTGATCAGAATTTATTGTTCTAAGTGCATATTCTAGCTGTTCATTATTGATCATAAAAAAAAACTTTTGTAATGTCACTTTTCTTAATTGAAAAAAATTACCAACATTGATGTTAAACATCAAGCTGTATATCTAATCCTCGGTTTTAGAATGAATCTCAAAATATATATTGAACTTAAGTTATGAGATACGGAGCTACTCATTTACTTAAAAATTAAATTGTGGATGAAAAAACAACTATAAAACATCGTAAATCATTAAACCATCACTAATAATGTTTATCAATATGGTTATTATATACCTAAAATCGATTTTTACCGCCTCTATAAATCGCTTTATTTTCATTCAAAGTAAATAAACACATTATATAAATTAGTGCAGAAGGATATATATTGTGATATGACAATTATTGTCACTCTATATTGATGATAGGATCGAAGCACTTAAACTGCCTTTTAAATTGAGATTATTTGAATGTGGACTAAAAAATGCATTATGAGATCAGATGTATATGCGCTTAAATGTAAATTGATATGCGTATGCAAATATGTCATTTTTAGATTCATATAACATTTGCTGATGAAATTGAATTGAAATTTTCTCAATAATGGAATTTTGCATATGACCAACAAATATCTTTTCATTAAATATTGAATTTGGTAATGTGTGAAATTCAAAAAATGTGGTTTTATAATAATTCCAAGAAAAAAATTCACATTTTCCTCCAATTTTCCTACAGATAGCTGTTTTGACTAATTACATACTAGTTTCTACAAAATTTGAAGATGTCATATTAAAATGAATTTCACAAAATCTTCCGAACTAATATTTCTAAAATGCTAAATGATTGATAAACAATATAATTATCTATATTTTTTGCAAAATTTCCTCAAAATTTAATATGACTTCGATTGCAATTTGTAGAGATATGAGAGACTTTCACAAACAAGTACATGAAGTGGAAGCTCTCAAGGAACACCTTGGAAAGGAGCTCCAAGGAATGAAAAAAGAACTTCTTGAAAAAGCAAAGGAATTACAAGATCAAAGTGCCTGTTATATTTCACGTGCTGGTTACTTCCAGCGCATGACCACATCAAACTATCGCGGATTTATGGAGCTTCCTTTCATGAAACCAGAAGGAATTACAGTATATGATAAAATTTTCGAAATTGCACAAATTCCAGATTATCGCACACAGCTTCCTAAATTCATGAAAGCATTTTACAAATGCCTTAATGACATGCCACCACTTTTGGCAAAGTTGGACACTCAAAAGCATTTTGGTGTTCAGCCATTCCTCCCTGATGGTGTGAAGTTATCAGATTTCATGGCTAGCTCAACTTTACCTGCTGTTTTTGGACATCTCTTCACGAAGGAATTGAAAATTGCTTATATTAAATTCCTCGTTGAAATTGCGAAAAATCTTCCTCCCGATGTTTACGACAACTTCAGAGAGCACTGGCTCTTTGATTGCATTAAAGCTTTTATTCATTCTTCTGACATTCGCTTGTTCTTACAGAAATCACTTCAAACTATCATCATCGATGCAGTTCGTGATGAAATGCTTGTTCAATACATCAAAACACGCAGAAATCAAGAGCTTTTTGAGAAAATTTCTGTAATTATTCGTCAAATTCTCAAAAACATGGAAGAAAACTTCTCAATATTCCCAGAAGATGTCAGATATTTCCTTTATCTCTTCAGTGATCTTGCTTCCGATGAAGAAACTAAGATCAAACGTCTTGAAATCATCTTATTAGATTCCATCATCATTCCAGCCATTTCATTACCAAAAGTATACGGAGTACTTCCACCTACGTTCTATTTCGACAAGTCTCCGCTTGGTCCTGCACGTGTTATTCAAATGATCGCTCAGGCATTCAGATTAATCCTTCATCCTGGTTCAGCTGATCGTTATGGCCTGACAAACGTTGAATGCCTTGTCTCAATTCCTTTCAGAGAATTTCTCATCAAATTACCTTCATCAAAACCGAACCTTCCAGGCCTCAAACTGCAAGATTTCATCAACAACCTTGGAATATTCTACGTGTTGGCTCTTTTCTCGGTTCCTGATGTTGTTTCTCTTGCATATCTTGTCAGAAATGTCAATTTGACAACAGCTCGTGCTCATATTGATCTTTTAAAGATAGCAAGTGATTTCCCAATTGGCTCATCCACTCCTTATGTCTTCTTCCGCTTCGAACATTGGAATCTTCCAGATTTTCTTGTCGAATCACCACAATTCCCTGAAAATAAGGTATCAAATGACGGATCACAGGAATCAGCATGCTCCAACTCCCTCTACCAGCTACTTTCCTACCTGGAATACAGAGAAAACTGCCCTCCAACAATAAATGCATGGCTGAACTTCCAAATGAACGATTGTTTGTTGCAGAGGGACTTCAAGAAGTACATCTACCTCCAGCATTACTTGAATTTGGCCGCTGGAGAAACGGAAGATTCTCAAATTACTCCAGGCCTCGAAGAAATCATCAGAAACTACTTGAACTATACCCAGTGCAGCATGACATTGATCAAACTTGGCGAAAGACAGATCGCTGATACTAAGAAGGAACTCGAAAATTTCAAATCGAAGACAGACTTATGGTTACCGATCTACCATGATATTATCCTTCAGCAGTTCCTTGAACAGGACCAGAGTGTGCTTAAAGACCTCACAGACAAGGTACATTACGACGTAATTTGCGAAAAAGGAACTTTTGACAGTTTTCTCCTCGAATCGCTTACTAAACTTAAAAAGTTCCTTGGAGACAACAATCTTTCCAGCGAATACAAGAGCGTTGCGAAACTTCTCCACTCATATATTATGTCATACATTCCATTGAAGCTTTTCATGAAGCAGAGCACCCGGTTTGTCGACAGGGATAAGACAATTAACGAAAACAGAAGGAAAGCTCTCAATGAAATGTCAAAAGCTCCTCCGAAAGTCAGCAAACTTTTCGATTTCCCACCTCTCTTCACTTTTGCCATCCAAGAAATCGAAAACGCGATCAAAGCTGAGAACCCTGATGCCGCCATCGAGTGCCTCTCCAGGTCATTGGAACTCCTGAGGAGAATATATATTCTTGAAATTGGAGGACTTCCTCAACCAGACGACTTGAATCCACTGTTCGGATTTGCTGTTTTCTCAACAGGAAATAACACGATTTATTCGTTCCTCAAATACGTCTCGCACTTCATGTTCATGCACTTGGAGGAATCAATGGTGTTCTTACCAAAGGAGCAGGAACAGGCAATAAGACAAGTAATGGTGCTGATTGATAAGCTCAGTTTCGTTTTCCCATTCTTGTAAGTTTTTTATATTAATTTTTTATTTTTATATATTTCGCGTATTAATATATTTTAAATCTTTTCCTTTACAAAATCATCTTTTTCTTTGTCATCCATGGAAAACAGTCGTTTCATTCATTCACGAAAAAAATCTGTGATTAACCAAAGCGTTTTTCATATAAGAAGGAAAATATTACAATGATATAATTTTAAAATTGATTCTTTTTGACATTAAGGGTCTACGGTCCGGCTATGGCAAGGCTCATATCTAATTATAGATTATGATTTGATATTATATGTATATACTGTTTTTAATATAATTTTTGGATTTCGTTAAACATGAAGCTCCAAAAAATCGCTTCAAGGTGAAGGCTATAACAACAATTCTCATTTTAGCATTCAATTTTTGATATTAAGAGTCTCGAAAGGAATCCAAAGCGCAATTTTATTATGGCACTTTTATTTTGCACAAAAAAAAACATTAAAACTTCATGTACCGACCAAATACAAGAGGTTTTAACCATGGCTTCAATGAAATTCGAAATGCTAAAGAAAGGGCTTTGGCTAACGCCTTGAGAGAAAATATGATTCTAGATTGACGCAATGCTGAATTAAGTCAGAGATTAAACGAACAAGATATTTTAATCAAAAATTTGCAAGAAGAGAATGTAACTCTTCATTTACAAGCTATTAATTTGCACAAACCCCAATTAAATGAAAATTTGATTCAAGAATTAGAATTAAAAATTCCAAAAGTATTACAATATTGTAGTCATATAACTGAAAAAAATAAATTAATTTCGGCCTTAGCAGCGCAAGAAGGCAAGCTAAAACATGAAATTGAATGTTTAGAGTTAGAAATGCAAACAAGCCTTGATAAACAAAAGATCCAACAAAACATTATTGAAAAACAAAATAATATTACTGCCTTGAAAGAGAATATTGATATTCAGTGTTTTTCGATTGATAAATATACTGAATTTTTTAAAGAATATCGGCAGCAAATCCAAAATTTGATTAACAAAATAGTATTCCTGAATCAAGAATTAGAAAAGAAGTTAAATAGCCTTGTTGGAATTGTTGACGAGAAATATAAGCATAGTATAAACCCTGTTGAAGGCAAAATTATTAATCAATTGAAGGAAGAGCCTAAGAATGAGTCCATTGTTACACCTTTAGAAACGTTTGATGTAAACAAAAATCAAGAAAAACTTTCTGGATATCACAATCTAAGCCATAATGCAATTAAAATTTTAGATTCAGCAAATCAACCGATTAAAATTGAAACATCTGAGCATCATTCAGAAGAAAACGTATTCAAATCAATAATTGAGAATAAAGATCAAGAAATTCAAGAACTTATGAAAACAAATGCACAACTAGTTAAAAGTATTGAGATACTTAAGAAGCAAATTTCCGAAATAAATGATTCATCATCCAATGAAAGAATTTTAGATCTCGAACGAAGACTAACAAATGAAATTAAAGAAAATGAAATTCTCAGGGTTGAAAACAATCGATTGTCTGATTCAATTAAAAATAAAGAAGCTGAATTGGCAAAAGTTTCAAAAGAAAAAAGTGAATTGATTGCTGAAAAGAATAATGAAAGTAAGAAAACCAATGAAGACGCAAACAACACAATGGAGGCTTCGGAACAACTTCATGAACAAAATAATAAGCTTATGAAAGAGAATGAGAAACTTAAACTAGATAATCTAAAATTTAAAAGAAAATTCAAGTTACTCAAGGAGCAGTTCAAATTTATGCAAAATGCAATAGCATCAAGTGATGATTCTGATGATAATGAAAAATAATAGCATCATGCATATAAAAAATGAAGAAAATTAAAATTGGAAACAGATCTGCAGAAAAATATAGGAGAGTTAGAATAAGTTTATTCAAGAAGATTGTGCGCAATCAAAGCGTTGCATGATACCTTGGTACAAAACGGATCATGTATTAGGTTTGAATTGCGATGATATAAATCAATTTTCCTATAAAACTTACTTTTTTCCATTGACCATCAATAAATATACCATAAAATGAAATTTAATATACTATGATTAATATGGATATACAGCAGATTAAAGAATCGTATTATGAATATAATACTCCCACATTACAGAGTGCATCAGATTTTGGTACATATTGTTATGGAGAATTTCCGATAAATCTTATTAGATGGTGATAGAGAAAGCCCTCAGACTCATCTATTAATTGAGAGGTATCGCAGAAATTAGAAGTTTTTGCTGAATTAATCGTGAAAAGTGCAAAATATTAATCAAAAGAACACCGAAATGAGAAATTTCGTGACGGGGTAGTAGCTCAATGGAAGAGCATGGGATTGCAGATCCCGGGGTTGTTGGTTCGAGTCCAGCTTGACCCCTTATTTTTAACTCTTTATGCAAACTGAACAAACAAAGATCATACTATCATCATATATTCAATCTGTAATTAGAGTTGCATAATTATGAATGCGTCAAAATCTTTGTATCAAGCGGAAAAACAGATCTGTCCAATTGGATACACTTGGATATTGTTTGGAAACCGAACATACCATGTTATTTGACGAATCAAAAACAATAAAGCTTCTATATGAGAAGCAAATTTTGAAAGAAAGTTTTTATTCTTTCAATACTTTGTAAAGTCAAAAATTATTTTCAAATTTATAAGCTATGAGTTCACCACTAGAAAGGAGCGCTCGCTCAAATGAAGCTTCATCTATAGTTACAAAAGTTAAAGAAAGAGTACTATCAGGTGCCTTGAGAGAAAATATGGAATTAGAAGAAAAAAATTACGAATTGATTCAGAAAATAAAGGAAAAAGATAAAAAAATCAGAGAATTGATGGAGATTAATAAAGCTTATCGTTCTAAAGCCAATAATCTTGATAAAACTCAATTGGAAGAAAAAATTCAAAAATTAGTAATAAAAATTCAAGAACAATTGAATCAAAAAACATTACAATATGCTCAAAATATAATTTCTTATATTACAGCAATCCAAGAGTTAACAGCTGAGATAGACAAATTAAAAAATGAAACAGAAAATTCAAAGATAATACCGCAGCCATGTTCTATAATAATGAAAGAAAGATCAAAATGCGCATTAGAGAAAAAGAAAGGCAAATTGAACAACTCAATGAGATTAAAGCACAAAATTGTGTTTTATTTGAAGAATCGATTAAGCAGTTTAAAGATTATCAGCAACGAATTCAAAATTTGAATAACGAGATAAAATCCAAAGATATATCATCTGTTGATGAAAATTACTTGGATATAGAATTAGAAAACAAGATAAAAGATATTATTGGAAAAGTTGATGAAAAATTTAAGCAAAGCAAGAATCCAGCTGAAGAAAAAGATCAAATTGTAAATCAATTGAAGAAAGATCCTAAAAATGAATCCATTGTTGCAGTATTCGAAGCAGTTGATGAATCATCAACTCAACTTATTGAAAATATAAATGAACTCCAAGAAAAACTCTTTAGATCTCATAGTATTGACTATGATGCCCGATTTGAAATTCTTCAAAGTAAAGATCGTGAAGTTAAAAACTCAGATTTAACAAATGAAGAAATCAAGGTTGAACCATCTCAATTTCAATCAGAAGGAAATGCATTAAAATCAATAATTGAGCATAAAGATCAAGAAATTCAAGAACTTATGAAAACAAATGCACAACTAGTTAAAACTATCGAGATACTTAAGAAGCAAATTTCTGGAAAAATCGAGCCAACATCGAATGAAAGAATTTTAGATCTCGAACAAAGACTAACAAATGAAATTAAAGAAAATGAATTGCTCAAAGCTGAAAACAATCAATTATCTGAGGCTAATAAAAAATACAAAGCAGAATTGCGGAAGATGTCAATAGAGCAAAGTCAATTGAATGCTGCAAATAATAATGAAATTATGGAATTCACAGAACAAATTTTCGATCTCAAGCAAAGATTAGAAAGAAAACAGCAAAAGAAGAAAATTCTTAAATTTAAAATCAATCAATTGTCTGAAGATATTAAAAATTCCAAGGCAGAATTGATAAAAGTTTCAAATGAAAATCGTGAATTGATAAAAATTATTTCTGCAAGCAATAATGAATTTAAGAAATCCAATGAAGATAAACTCAACTTATCATTAAATAGTATCACAACCAGTACTTTGGAACAACTTTCAAATCAAAAGATGAGCTTAGGTGGGAAAATTAAATTATTTTTATTTACATAATAATTGTTTGAAGCTCATATTCCATCAAATTTTTAAATAAAAACATTAAAATGTTGAAAATGTTCATATATTTTAATAGGGTTTTGGCACTTTATTGAGGAATTACTACATACATAGTCGAACTGAACTTGATATTTTGAAATTTAAATTATTTGTCAAAATTAAAATTTAACTTGAAATTTATAATTATTTAGTCATATTTTGCATAATTCTAAGTAGATTTTGTAAAAAATCAAGAAAGAAAAATTTTAACGTGCTTTATTTTTCTTTTTTATAATAATACATATTATTATATAATTAACATATTCATAATGTTTCACCCTTTCAAAAATATAATCCTCCTCCTCTCAACTAAACGTACATACGGGTGGCCTCTTTTTTCAAAAAATTAAAATTTGAAATTTTGGGCTCAAATATTAGAGATTTTTTCAACCTTCAACGATATATGTTGTCTATATCAGACCTCCTTTCTTTTTGATACTTAACATTGTTCCTAAATCTTAGCCGTTAAGGCTGTTCTGAAATAGGGATGCGACGGTTTTACGCCATGACCGTTTAAAAATAGAATAATACGCCATTTTTGGGGCCGAATGGCGGGTACTTCGTACCCGCCATTCGGCCGAATAACAAAACAATACAAAATTATCACCGTCCTTTTTTTTTCTTTCTTTCTCTTTTTTTTTCCTCTCTCTCTCTTTCTTTTCTCTTTCCTCTTTTTACTCCTCTTTCTCTTTTCATCATTAAACGTAGAAAGATATATTAATATTATTTTAAAATTAAAAAAAATAAAGAATATAATAAGTAATTATTTAGTTATCGATATATATATGTAAAGTGATAATCTGAGGATAATCTGAGGAGGAGTCTGAGGATTAGACCGAGGAGTAGTTTGAGGAGTTTGAGGATAATCTGAGGAGTTGTCTGAGGAGTAGTTTCAGGAGTTGTCTGAGGATAATTTGAGGAGTTTGAGGAGTAGTCTGAGGAGTTTGAGGAGTAGTCTGAGGAGTTTGATGATAATCTGAGGAGTTTGAGGAGTAGTCTGAGGAGTCTGAGGATAATCTGAGGAGTTTGAGGATAATCTGAGGAGTTTGAGGAGTAGTCTGAGGAGTTTGAGGATAATCTGAGGAGTTTGAGGAGTAGTCTGAGGAGTTTGAGGAGTAGTCTGAGGAGTTTGAGGATAATCTGAGGAGTTTGAGGATAATCTGAGAAGGAGTCTGAGGATAATCTGAGGAGTTTGAGGAGTAGTCTGAGGAGTTTGAGGATAATCTGAGGAGTTTGAGGATAATCTGAGGAGTTGTCTGAGGAGTAGTTTCAGGAGTTGTCTGAGGAGTAGTTTCAGGAGTTTGAGGAGTAGTCTGAGGAGTTTGAGGATAATCTGAGGAGTTGTCTGAGGAGTAGTTTCAGGAGTTGTCTGAGGATAATTTGAGGAGTTTGAGGAGTAGTCTGAGGAGTTTGATGATAATCTGAGGAGTTTGAGGAGTAGTCTGAGGAGTTTGAGGATAATCTGAGGAGTTTGAGGATAATCTGAGGAGTTTGAGGAGTAGTTTCAGGAGTTGTCTGAGGATAATTTGAGGAGTAGTCTGAGGAGTTTGAGGATAATCTGAGGAGTTTGAGGAGTAGTCTGAGGAGTTTGAGGATAATCTGAGAAGGAGTCTGAGGATAATCTGAGGAGGAGTCTGAGGATAATCTGAGGAGTAGTTTCAGGAGTAGTCTGAGGAGTTTGAGGAGTAGTCTGAGGAGTTTGAGGATAATCTGAGAAGGAGTTTGAGGATAATCTGAGGAGGAGTCTGAGGATAATCTGAGGAGGAGTCTGAGGATAATCTGAGGAGTTTGATGATAATCTGAGGAGTTTGAGGAGTAGTCTGAGGAGTTTGAGGATAATCTGAGGAGTTTGAGGAGTAGTTTCAGGAGTTGTCTGAGGATAATTTGAGGAGTAGTCTGAGGAGTTTGAGGATAATCTGAGGAGTTTGAGGAGTAGTCTGAGGAGTTTGAGGAGTAGTCTGAGGAGTTTGAGGATAATCTGAGGAGTCTGAGGATAATCTGAGGAGGAGTCTGAGGATAATCTGAGGAGGAGTCTGAGGATAATCTGAGGAGTAGTTTCAGGAGTAGTCTGAGGACTAGTCTCAGGACTAGTCTGATGAGGAGGACTCTAAGGAGTAGTCTGAAGAGTAGTCTCAGGAGGAAGATCTGAGGAGGAGTCTTATGAGGAAGATCTGAGGAGTAGTCTGATGAGGAGGGGTCTAAGGAGTAGTCTGAGGATGATGAGTAATCTGATAAGGAGTAGTCTGAGGATGATCTGAGGATAACCTGATGACTAGTCTAGGAGTGGTCTAATAAAAATGTAAAATATTTTCAAAGAAAAAATTCTATGAATTTTATATTTTAATTCTTAGCATTATACTGAATAAAATAAACATAAATATCAAAATTTGAAATTGAACACGCCAAAAAATTGATAATCCACATTCAATATTTTGTAAGTGGCGTACATTTTGAATACTCGCCATACGCCTCGGAGTTCTCAATTTTGAATTCGCCTTTATTTGGGCGACCTCAGAAAAATACGCAATTAAGAAAATATTGTATGAGATTTTAAATTTGAACACGCTCTACCTTAAGGAATTAAATTTATTAAGATATATTTATATATAATAAACGATTACTTAAAAAAAGTATTTCATCGCTTATGTAAGTTTCAAAAAAATCACGAAAATAAAAAAATCAAGATTAAAATTTTATTTTTAATTTTTGAATTTCTCAAATGGCGAAATTTTTGGGCGAACAAAAAAATGTACGCCCGGTCAAATGGCGTGTTTAAGGCATCCCTATTCTGAAAATATTTTTTTTTCGAAAAAATTCGAAAAAAATTCTTAAAATTCAAAAATCCCTTAATTCCTGAGGATTTTGGAAAAAAGTTTTTACATGAACATGTGTATATTATATGAAGTATATTGATAAGGTAAAAATCAAATTTTATTGCATATTCATCGAGAAAATAAACTAACGAATCCCTCAAAATTGAGAGGGTAATCCTCCTCCTCTCAAATAAACGTACATACGGGTGCACCCTTAAGGGAAAATTCGAGATCCTAAGTAAACAATTTAAAATTATGCAAAAAATATTAGCATCAAATGACGACTTGCTTCAAGTATTTGTCTAATGCATCTTAAATACAAACTAAGTTCTATACTGTTCAAGTATATAATATGACAAACTCTCACAAACAATGGCAATATTCACATGTTTTAATTACAATAGTAAATAATGATCATTGTATTAAGGCCATTGTTACATTGTATTAAAGTCAGCAAAGCAGAATTGCTAAAGGAATCAAATGAAAAAAAAGTAAATTGATTGCTGCAAAAAAATAATGAAATTAAAAAATCCAAAGAGAGCTCTTTGGAAAAATTTCAGGAACAAAATGATGATCTTACGAGAGAAAATGAGAAAATTAAAATAAGAGGAAATTCAAGATTCCCAAGTTACAGCTCACACACATGTAAAATGTAATAGAGTAAAGTGGAGATTCTGATAATGAAAAATGTAGCACATGTCATTCATCTAATGGAATCAATCATTCACTCGAATGATGAAGAAATTATAAAACAGGGAACTAAACTCCAGCAAACTATATAAGAGTTAGAACATGTTTATACAAAGTAGACAACGGACAGTCAAAGCGTTGTATGATTTTAATTACAAAAAAAAATCATGATTTCCAAGTTATAGTTCAATTAGTATATATAAATCATTATTTTCCTTTAAAACTTTATTTTAACTTGCATTGAGTTGATCAATGTTAATACTTTATTTCATAATGTATCCTTAAATACGCCATGAAATGGTATGCAATATACTGTGATTAATATGGTTACACTGCTATTTCTTAATAGTGCAAATGATGAATGGATAACAGCAAAATAAAGAACCATTTTATACATTTTATATTCTAACATTACATAATATTGAATAACTCAATGGCAAAACACATATGGAGAATAAAATATAATTACAAGAAAGAATTATGAGAAGGCCCAACGGCACCATTAATCGATATGCTTTTCCTGATAGGTTGGAAATCTAAATACAACATCAATCAAAGAATTGACTTTGAAACGAAAATTATTTCAAAAGATTTTAGGTAAATTTTATAATCCATCCATTGTCTTTCTATAATCTTTATAAAAAACTATTTCCGAGTTAACTTTTTCAAAAAGGGTAAAAATAAAGGGTAAATAAATATTTTTCATTTCATTTTTTCCAAAAATGTCATTTGATAGTACCAGCGTTCGTACATCAGTTGAAAAGGATTTCAAGAACCGTGAGTTCGCCCAGAACATTTCTCTTGGTATGATGCGTGTTGTTAGATTCCTTAACACTTTCCATTCAAATGTACGTGGCAGATTAGCCGACTTAAACCAGAAATTAACACAACTCGAGAGACGCCTTGTTTTCATTGAAAACCAGTTGAAGTGCTGCACAGAACAGCCAGCTTCTGCAGAATAAGGCTATTTTATCATCTATCGCGTTTATTGCATATTCTTTCTGGTATGAAGTACGCATTTACCATTTACGAGATTATCAAATATGTAAATAAATATGTTATCGTTACATTTTAATTATTTTTTTTTATATTTTAATTATTAAAAGGTTACCTCTGCATAAATACTCCTAAATTTGGAAATAAAAGAGCTTTTCGATGATAACTATTCAAGATAAAGAGTAGAAATTATTTTATTATTCAAAATTTTATTATAAGTAAAGTTATATTCATCATATGTATGTCGTGAGGCCAATATGTATATTTCTGCAAAGCTCTTGTTTAATATTCCTTTTAAAAAATGAGATACAAAAATTATAGGTATTTCCATTGATATTAGCATAAAAATGGTAAATTTTAAAAGTAATCTTTATTGATATACAACACTAATAAAACAATAAACAAGAGTAACAATAAAATTTGATTTTGAAATTTTCAAAATCGATTAAAAAGGTGTAACAGCCCAAGCAACGCGAATGAGCAAGTAGAAGAGCAATAATATGAGGATAATTTCAATAATTTTGATTGTGTGATGGTAAGAGCGCTGTGTTCTCATAATTCCGTTTGTAAATTTTGTCACGTTTAAATTTATTTTGGGGTCGATTTTGAATATTTAGGGTGATTTTAAATTGTTTTCATAATTTTTTAGGAGGTATTTTAGGAGATTTTTGAAATATGTCTCGACTAAATATCAGCATTTCGACATTATTTTTTGTTGCATTAGCAGCGTTCTTTATTTACGTTTCATTTGAAACAATGAAAGTGATGAAAGATTCACCAGATTCGAATTTTGCATTCCAGTTCATTCAGCAAATTCCTAAATGCCTATTAGAAATCCAGAAACATGTTCCTTTCATATCGAAATTTGCAAATTCAATTATTGAAGGAGAAAATGATGTCAACGCAAAAGTTTTTACATTTTTCCTTGCTTTGATAGTAACATTTATTACGTTGTTTTATATTATCCCTTAATCGATTTAAAATATTCAAGAAAAAATTGCGTGCTATAAGTTGTTTTATCGTGAAAATGCATATCATAGGCTATATATTGCAAATAAGTGTATACTACACCATGTTTGTAGTTTTAATTTACTTATATTTTTCTTCCTTTTTAAATTAAATAGAATTTATAAAGAGAAAAAGTTGTTAGTTACAATATATCGCAAGCTGGTCGATAATAAAAAATAAATTTACAATAAGATGAAAAATAAAAAAAAATCAATAAAAATATTATACTTTCAAGCTCTACTTAGCTGATTGAGTTGGCAATGGTGTGTCCTTGCAGTCAGCGGCAGATAGAGCTCCATCTTTTTCAACATCGAGGGACATTTCAAAGAGTAAGTCTGGATCGTAGATTTCCATGTTGTCTATCTTCTCCTGGACCTGGTCGATTGACAAATAGAAGTAGTTTGTCCTCTTGAATTCCAAAATCTTTGAAATGAAGTTGTAAAGACCCTTGATCTTTCTGCAGTTGATAAGTCCGTTGACCCACAACTGAACGTTCTCTTCGTACTTGAAGAGATCCGCAAGAAGAATTCCGAGATAAGGTAATGCAGGTTTTCCGTTCAAAACTGCTTCATCCTGCATCTTTCTGAGTTGTAAGAAGCCTTTGTCTGGCGAGCATTGGACTTCCATCTTCTCCAAGTACTCTTTTCTGTCAATTGCGATCTGGGAGAAATGGTATTTCAAGCGGAAGATGGCGTTAGATCCAAGGCCACCCAATACACCCATTCCATCAAGGAAATTGTTGTCACCGAAAAGTGCTTTCATCAATTGAATAATTTTGTTCATCTTTTCGATTCGCCGTCTGAAATTCTGCTCGCTGAGGATAGTATGTGCGACCCAGCTTGTTAATTTGTTGTAATGTTGAGTCAAGGCAATGACATTTGGAGCTCTGTACTTAAGACGTGGTTTTTCCCAAGCTCCATCGAGTAACTCGTCGCGCTTGATGTTGTAGTATCTCGTGTATGACCAGAAAGTTAACTGTCTGGCAAGTTCTGTAATTGGAAGATCGAATAAGTCGAAACCGCCTGTCCACAAGTTCGGACAGTTACCGATATCTACTGCTGGTGGTGGTTTCTGAGGAGATTTCGCGGATGTCATTTGTGGAGAAACTGAATTTTTGCGTTCGAAAATATTTGAAACGTGTGTTGAGTATTTTTCCATTAATTCGTTGTCAACAAACTGCTGTGCCATGTCAATAATCTGAGGCTCAAGGTCTTGAAGGGCGCTTTTAACCCAGGCCTTGAATAATCTGATTGAAAGTTGGACGCAACGCTCAGCCCTTGAAATATTCTTCTTGTCTTCATCGCTGAGCTCCTCAAGATTCGATGAGGATTGACGATTACTGTTCTTCTGGACTTCTTCGAGTTGAGATAAAGTTTGGCGAATTCTATCTCTTATTTTGAAGAAGAAGACTCGGGATGAGGTGAGGGACTGGATTGTGAGAATCAGAGCATTAAGAACTTCGGAAGCGTTTGTAATGCTTGGATCCGTAACGTAAAAAATGATTTGATTGAGAGAAGCTTCAAGAGGTTCCTTGCTTGTATTCTCTGATGCGTTTTCTGTCTTCTCGGAATTTTCTGTATCCAATTCTGTAATGTAAAAAGCAGGATCATATGGTTTTTCATTTTCAATTGGATTCGAATCTTCAACAACGCTGGAAGAGGCACCAATGATCGTAGAAATGGCTTCATCGAGGGCAACTTGAGTCAGTTTTGGTGTCGGTGGAGTGTGAATAGATGGAATGGATAATTCCCAGAATTTTTCTGCACGATAGATACCTCTTTGGATCAGTAACGCAAGCTGGGATTCTAACTTGTGAGGAGGAATATTGAAATCACTTCCCCACTCATTGTGTAAGGCTGCTTGCGATTCTGTTAAACCTAAAGTACGAAAATGCTGTGAAATTAAAGCTAAAGTAACATCATGAGGAATATATCTGTTTGATGGTAAATATAGCCTTCCAAATTCAGCGGCTCTGCATATTGGATTTACGCTCTCGCGCAAAGACTTGATTTCGGGATGTAATTCAAGAATCTTGTTGAGCCACTCTGAGCGATCTACTGAATCGCTATCCTTGGGAGCATGAGCTGCTAAGACTGAATCAAATTCAGGCGAAATTGGAAGAGGAGGTTTTTTAAGAACCGGGCTCTGTGTATTCCTATGCTTGTTCATGATCGAGCGAGGTGCAAGAGTAGCATATCGTGTTGGCATATAAGAACTCATCTGATATTGAAATTTCGAAAAAAAAAATTAAAATTGACTTGTGACATAAAAAACATCATTTCCCAACTTGAGGTTATTTGGATCTAATAATCTTATTTCATTCAACCTGAACATAAATAGGAGAACAATACAATAAAAACGGAAAATGATTGGATATCAAATTATATTCGAAAATAAAAATAAAGTCTAGAACTCTTGACTCTATATGCAGGTTATATCTAATTTAATTGGATTCATTTGGTGATGTTTATATTACTTGAAAGTCTATTATTCACAAATGATGATAATTCATTGATATTGGTTTTTGAGTAGCAGCAAATCATCCATCATCAGAGTAAGTCTTTGAATAGTAATAATAAATATATCTCAAATGTACGAGATAATAAAGTATTTATAATATTATTGAAGAATTGAAAATTATGCTGTTGCACCTCATACATAAATGTTACTAACATAGCCTTCATCTGCAATTTGCTGCTGTCACCGCATGAACATCGAAATATTTTATTAAAATTCAAAACGTTGATCGCTCCAAATCACTAATGGGTTTCTTATATCAATTATATAATTATAAGTCTGTAATGTAAAGTTTCAAAAAATTGTAAACATTTCATGAATTATCACTTCTGACAAACTAATTCAATATTAATAATTTATCAAAAAAAGTTAAAATCGAAATTGAAAGGATCAAGCCGTTTTTCGATAAAATTGAAAGTTTTACCGTTGCAATCAAAATAAAAGCAAGTATCATTTTCATTTTGCAATGTTTTACTTTCTAATATCCTATACAAGCATGACTATTTCAGGTCCAGGCTATTTTACAATAGATGTAACTGATAAATCCGTTGAACAAATCCAATTCAACTTGAACAAAGTTGAAGGTTACGAATATTACTTTGCTTTTTCAAAACTCACATATGAACAAATAAATGGTGTTCTCATTTCTTCCCCAGTAACAAAAGTCACAGAATTGAAAAAAGTATTTTCATTTAAATCAAGATATAAATCATCTACACTTCAAATGGGAGTTTTCTTGGTTCCAACAGAATGTACTTCGGTCGAATTTTTAATCAACCCTTCAGCAAACGAAGATTACTTTTTCAATACTGGTATGACTAAAGAAAAGTACTATTGCATGAACATAATGACTAATACCAAATTCAGTGCTGATCTTGGCACCAATGCCTACAACAAACTTTATTATTATACGAATGGTAACGTATCAAACATCCAAGAGGTTGATTCTTCAGGAGTAAGTGTACCAAATGTTAGATTACTCTCTCTCAAGGTTGCATATATGGCCCAAGAAGGATCATCCAATGTTAAAATTACATCAGCAGAAACCAAGGGCCTCAATCCCTCTGATTTCGTAGCTGACTCCGCAAAGGCTAAACTCATTGCTTCTACTAGTGTCTTTGTTCACGACATGATGATCTTTTACGATGGTTTAGATCCAAGATTAAAATACGGAAGTAACTCGATTACTGTAGGTCAAAATGAACAGGCTTATGTCATCAAAGCCGGTACAGTTATAGTTTTCACAAAATTCGACGGAATTGAAGGAAATGTTGGTGCTTCAAATTACGGAGCTCCAATTGGAGGTAGTACTGCTGCAGTTCATGTTCTTAGCCAAGCACTGTTAGAAATAAAGGCAACAAGTACAAGAGAAGTTCATATGGTAATATTTAATATCATGACTTATACTTTTAATCAAGGCGTTGTTATAACAGGAACCAAAAAAGTTGGAATTGGACCTGTAAAAGAATCCTCGGCAACATATTTTGTCTTTGCTGCAGTTTACGATGGAGAAGCTTCTTTCAAATCCGATAAATTTGAATACGTTGCGTTACCTGATGGAAACGCTACAGAAAAATCTCAAGTTAAAAGATCTTTTTACCAAGCGTTCTCTAAACAAAATAGTGGGGACTCAACATCTACAATTGAAACTAAAATGAGAGACAGCACTGATGAATCTTACATTATTGATGGAGTAGAATCGAACTACGTTTTTAGATATGTATCCAATTCTTACAGTGGTGATTATCGTGGTTACTCATCAATTACTAAAGAAAAATTAAGTTCTAGTAAAGTTGGTATAATTGTTGGAATTATTGTAGCAGTAATTATCGTTGTCATTATTATTGTTGTTATAATGGTGTGCATGAAGAAACATAAACACCATAAATCCAGTTCTTCAAGTTCTTCCAGATCCTCAAAGAAGAAGAAGAAACTCAACAATTATAATGCTGATTTCGCTCAACCTGCTGGAGTTTATCCTAATCAAGGTTATCCTAACCAAAGTTATCCTCCAAATCCTCCACCACAACCATATCAACAAGCATATCAACAGCAGCAAGCTCCAATTTATGCTGCTCCACTTGATCCATCAAATCCATATCAATAAATATAGGGTGTCCAAAGGTGTGTTTAGCACAAACCTGAATACTGCGAATAGAAATAAACAAGTTACATATATATAAAGTTTATTTAAATATAATCACCATTGGATTCAATCACGCGTTCGCAGCGATCGATCCAGGCTTGAAAGACACGCTTTAAATCATCATGAGAAAATTGCTCAAATTGCTCTCTTACAAAATTTTCAAGATCATCTGGACTCGCGAATTCGCGTCCTTCAGCTCTCTTTTTTAGCGTGCCGAATAAATAAAAGTCAGAGGGTGCAATATCAGGTGAATAAATTGGGTTTGGAACAACTTTGACATTGTTTTCCACCAAGTAATTCATTACCTTATGACTTTTGTGAACTCTTGAATTATCAAAATGAATTGCAAACTTTTGTTTTTGTTGTTTGGATTTCTCAAACTCATCAGAATTGATAATTTGAGTAAGAACATTGTCAATTAGATACTGAGCATTCATCGTATTAGGTTTTTTGTGAAGAATATCAATTGCGATGATGCCATTCACGCCCCAAAAAACCGACAACATCATCATTGGTGTGTCAATTTTTTTCTTCGGGAATGTTTGCGGATTTTCATCCTTCGGGATCCACATGATTTTGGCTTCTGTTGCATATTGAAACCAAGACTCGTCCCCTGTTACTAAAAAGCGAAACTTCTTGGATTGATACGCACCCAATATAGAGAGGAGCTCTTTCGAAGATTGGACTCTAGATTTTTTTTGAACTGAATTAAGGTTGTGCGGAACCCAACGTGTATACGCTAGTTTGTAGTTCAAATAATTGTGCAGATAATAACTGACTGTTGTACGTGGTATCTTTGTCATCTCCTCTATCCTTCTGAGTGATGCTCTTGGGTCTTCATCTAGCGCTTGAAGAATTGCTTTGATTTTTCTTTGATCCGGCTGTTATATAACTATTTTTTTTAAATTAGCAGTAAAAATTTAGTTATCGAGAACTCAATGGTAAACTTTAATTGCAGTCAGGTAAAGAAACTATTGTATAAGTTGAGATGGAGTTATATTTGATTATAAAGAGTTTAATTTTCATTTTTATTTTTTTAGAAAGGTAAAGTAAATAAAATATACAATAAGATAAAAAATATACAAATTATTCTTGGTTAGAGATTGTTTGTATAACTGATTCAAAGCGAGCTTTTTCTTCTTCTCTTGTCTTTCCGCTAGCCAAAGAAGCAATTCCAACAACCTTCGACAAGTAAACAACGCCAGAAGTGCTTCCAGCAATGAAAACAGGTAATTTAGGTGACCAATCAACAGCTGTGAACTCTTTCTTCTCGTATGTGCTGAGTTTAGCGATTGGATCGACGCTGTCCACGGAAACATCCCATATCCTGCACTCGCCATCACTGCAAGCAGCAGCGAAAACAGTACTAGAAATGGGAGACCAACTGATGGAGTTGAAATTGGCCTTGTTCAAGTAGAAAACCGAAACTGGTGTTTGGCGCTGAGTGTTCCAAATGGCGGCACTGCCATCGCATGAACCGGAAATGAACCAGTTTGGAGCAATCGGTGAAAACTTCACAGTTAAAACAGATCTGTAGTGGAATAAAAGTTTTTGTACGAAATCTTCATTGTACTGAGTGTCGCAAACGAATAAGGCGCCATCTTCTGAGCCTACAACGTATATATTCGGCTGAGAAGTGGAGAAACTGACACAATGTAAGTCTTCATATCGTAAAGTTTGAGTATCACCATCAGATCCGGCCGTTTTCAGCTTCTTGAGGGTCACAAGGTCTTTATGTTCAAGGCCGTTAGCAACTGTCCATTGTGTGACCCTTCCACCGGCTGCAACTGAAACAATTGCTTCAGATCTGACACGAGTATCTGTTCTCTGCTGGAAAACTACCTCTCCGACATCGCCTTCATGGGAACCTGTTTCAACTGTGGACATGGCAATGCATTCGCATTTAATATTTCTGATATCGTATAAACCAATGGATCCATCAGCGAAACCAGCAGCGATAAGATATGGAACTCCATCAGAGAAAACAATAGATTTAGGAACTGATGCTGTTTCTATGATTCTCTCTGGTTGTCCTGGATTCAAAATGTTCCAAACGCAAATTAAGCCTGTAGAAGGCTCCCCTTGGTACTGGGAGAGCATATTTTCGGGTACTTCGCCATATGCAGCTGCGAAAAAGTTGACACTCTGATAGTTGAATGATAAATCTGTAACTGGTCTTGAAAATGTCTGTGAACAGTGGAATTTGAGTAAGTTTTCGACATTTTGTGTATCGCTCGTGCAATTTGGAGATGAGTACGCTAAGATTTTCTCGAGGTGGATGTTCTGTTGTACCATTCTTTCGATAACGAATAAACTATGTCCGAAATCTTTGAACTGTTGGAGAGTTTGGTCACTTTCCTTTGAGTTAGGACCGAAATCAATGCGTGCTGAGCTATCAAGAAGTGTTTTTTCTGGTGTAGATTGCCATTGATTTGATGCTAAAGGATGGCAGTCTTCTCTGAGACGATCAAGAGGTCCATGCTTGATCTTACGCTCTAATGGATTTGAGTTTGTAAGAATTAATTGATGAGAATCGAGTTGAATTTGGACATCATTTTTAATTACTTTATCTGTTTGTGTATCTTTATTTTTAGTAAAGAGGTGGAATGTAAGGTTGCCTCTATCTTGTGTTGATGTTGGTTGATATGTATGATAACGCTCATTTGATGTTTTTAATGTTTCAGCTTCGGCACTTGCAAGAGATGCAACAGAGCTTTGCTGACAAAAAAGAGATATTGTTGGTGTCTCACTTAAATAAATGTTAACTTCAGGTTCAGCTTGCTTATTTGAGTCTTGTTCCATATTCTCTTTTTTTGTAACGTGCAAAGAAAAAAAAATTCAAAATTTAGCTCTTGAAATCAAAAGCGATATATTACTAGTATATAAACTCAAAAATTGAACCAAAACAAAAATAACGTCATTCTCGAGATAATTTTGATTAAAAATTTGGAAATTACTAAATATCATGTCCCTTTGGCAATGGATAGATTGCATGCCTATTTGTTCGATCATTTGTTGATCTGGATTGCTAAGATCGATGTTGAAGATTAAATTCAAATCCAAAATCTACGGAATTCTTGATCATCCAAGGGATTTGGAGTATTTCGGAAATGAAATGATGATTTTGATGATTTTTAAAACATAGATATCAGGTTGATAATATTTTAGAGGCGGTTTAGAATTCTTAATTTTTAGTATTTATATAAGGAAATATCGGGCAGTAATTACATCAAAATCCTGTAACAGGAACATTTTAGTGAAGTCAAAGTGTTCAGAGCCATCTTAGCAATTCTAAATTCATCAGAAAGCTAAATCTATCTTATTACATTCTCATTCGTCGAAAATAAGAGATCAATGAAAGCATGTTCTCAATTCTATCGGATCTTTACTGAATTTTGCCCATTTGCTAAATATATTATCCTTCGAAATATTTTATAGGAAAAATAAAAATCATCAATTTGAGTACTTCAACCTATCACAATTCTTTAAGATCCATTTGTGTACAAAAATGATGATTAAAATTAAAATAATAAGGATAAATCTTTGATTTATCTAATGCTTAGTCATTTCTTTGCATATAGTTTGACTTTAAATACAGGTTTTGTCTCCAAAGATATTAGTTATACTCAACTTTAATCAATCATGCTTGAAAGCATTTATATTTGAGATTAGAAGAAACAATGAAATATTCTTTAGTTTATGTTGCAATAGCAAAATAGATGTATAAATCAACTCGAAAATGTTTGAATATTAATTGACAGCAATTTCTTCAGAGATTAACTATTGTTAGGGGAGCTACAACAACGCGATTAGATCTTGTCTTCAAATATATAATCCGCAATTCTTTTTATAAGAGAGAAATCTTTCGAATGAAAGCTCAGCGTTCATTCGCTGAAAAATATAAGTTTAGTATATTCAGAAGAGTGCCATTTTATTGATAGACTAAGGGTTTCGTTTTGCGAAAAAAACGTACAATACGCAATTTCGCTAAAAAAACATTTAGCTAGCAATTTCGACATTTGACTCCACTCAAGACGTCACTTTTTTAATTTTGCGGTATCATATTTTTGGAAAATCTTTATGAATATTATATAAAAAGTCTCTTTAATATCTATATTTCATATTTTTATCGATTTTTCAAGTTTTTGCGAAAAGTATTCAATTATTTTTGCTATTTGGTCGGGTAAATGTCAGATTTGCGACATTTTCTGATATGATATTCAGATTCTACGTTGATAATAATGCTTATAGAACCCTCTTGCTATTGTGTCAAAATTGCGAAACCGATAGCAAAAATATCTCGCAATATCAAAATTGAGATATTGAGTGAATTATGCATTATAGAGATTAAAAATCTGATTTGTGAAAACATCTCATCAGTTTCTAGCTAATTCAAAAATCTTTACTATCTTATTCGATTAAAATGAAAAGGGAATAGTTTCATTATGCTTTAAATGACAGCTTTATAATATAATCATAGTTTTCGCTCAATATGCAGCATTTTTTTTTCGAAATCTATGGTCAATATCCTAAATACTGATTGCTTTGCATTCATATCTCTTACATTTTCTATACCCACATCACTATTCATTGCTATTCCTATCTTTTTCATTTTTGTTTGTTTCTCATAATTTCTCAAAAAACATGATAACTTGATATTTGTAAATATCATACTTTATAACGTAAATAAGAACTTGACCTATTAAGAAAAGCAGTAATGAAAAGAAAATCTGAAATTCATAAAAATTACAAGTTTCTGATGACAATTAGCTTAATTAAACCAGGTACAAGATTATATAATTGTATTTTCTATCCAATTATCCATATAATATCTTATCCAGAAAAAATAACTTGATCAATACCAAATGATTTTTTAACTAGTAAATAAAGTATTTTCTTTACACACACATTGTATATCATAGTTTTTTTTTGGTTTCGCAAAACATCCAAAAACAAATATGCTATAAAAGTGACAATTTTAGCAAAACGAAACCCTTAGATAGACTAATTCAGATTCGAATTTTGATTTTTCGAAATCTCACCGAGATAAAAAAAACGATGATTTTGATTCTATGTGAGTGATATCTATAAATATCATCTGAAATCGTTGAATATTTCCTTCCAGATATTTTTGAATGTAAATTGAAAATTTCAATAGTTTTCTATTGTTTGATCTTCATAGCAAACCCCAATTCTATTATTTCGATAAAAATTGCAATTCTTTCAAAAAAATAGCCGTCGGGATTTTTATGTAAAAAAGTGAAGTGTAAACTTTTCAAATCAGTTCGGTCAACTCAGATGTCTTTTGTCTACGCTTTAGTTGCTCGTGGTGCTCAACCGCTCGCCGAGTACTCAACAATTGAGGGTAACTACAAGAGCATTGCTATCAAAATGCTTGAAAACATCGATACAAAGAAGCCAAATCACATTTTCGAAGAAGGAGAATACGTTTTCCAATCACTTGCTGATAATGACAGAATGAACTTCCTCTGCCTTACAAGGAAGACTGCTAGCTCTCAGCTTCGTATGGCCTTCCTCGAAGAACTTCAGAGGAAATGGCGTACAAAATATGCCAACCAAGGCGCTAACTTCCAACCATACTCCAAGGATAAGGAGTTCGCCCCAGAAATTCAGGCCCTCTTCACAATGTACAACTCGGAGCGCGCTCAGAAGATTGCTACAATCAAGGGCAACATTGCTGCCACTCAGGAGAAGATGACAGAAAACCTTACACAGGCTCTCATCCGTGGTGAGAAGCTTGAAGTTATGGAAGAAAAGGCCAACAACATCAAGGAACACGCTGAAGTCTTCCACCGTGCTGCTAACACAGTCAAGAGGAAAATGTGCTGGGAGAGATATCGTTGGTACGTTCTTGGTGTACTCATTGCCCTTGTCCTTATCTTCATCCTTTTCTTGATCTTCTGCAAGGGATTCAAGTGCACTAAGAAGGATAAGACCGCTTAATTTGGCAGTTTCTCTCTAAATCAAGTTTTCTTTATAATATCAAAAATTTATTTCGATCTCTGATTTTTCATAATTACTTTTTAAATTTTACTGTAGATAAGTTTAGATTTAAATAGAATATACTCTGCTCTATGATTTCAGTTCATTTCGCTTGAAATACAACAAGATCTTAAGAATCCATATTAATGCTTACATCGAAACCAAAAATAATCACTCCCTCGTTCTCTCATATGAATTATAGAAGATAATATCATTGCCAGAAAAAGAGAATCATGAAATAAAATCGATATCAAATATAATTAATGTTTTTAATATATATTTGATCAGGTAAGGCATGAAATAATCCAAGAACTTCGTACAGTATTTCATTTTAAATGATTATTAAAATAATATTTGTATTTCGTAATATATGTTTTTATTTACCGGTAAACCCAAGAGTATTTATTTAGCTGCGCGGCTTCTCCTTCTTGCCGAGCCAAAGAGCAAGGAGGGAGAAACCAGCGACCTTGATAACTTTGAAACGGCATCCTGGAAGGTCACCGACAGAACGGCCAGAACGACCCATACCGGCAATAAGAACACGGTCGTTATCATCAATAAGACGGAGGGAACCATCGCGTGGAACGAAAGCTGTGACAACCTTAGAGTTCTTCTTAAGCTGAACACGGACAGCTTTACGAATAGCAGAGTTTGGCTGCTTGGCTTCGACAGCGACCTTGCCGACGACGATGCCAGATGCCATTGATGTACCCTCAAGTGGTGTCTTGTAGATTGATGTACCAAGGGAACGGCGGTATGCGTTGGAAGCCCACAAGTTGGACTTGTGTGCAAGACGGAGTTTACGAGCAGCGAGACGACCGCAAGCTTTAGACTTACCCATCAGAAAGGCCGGCCAAACGCTCCCCTCAAAATTTTCAGCGATAATTCAGGTTTTATATTTTGGAATTTTTCCCATGCACATTAATTACATCAAACATGTAATAAATAAATCATGCATTAAAATTGATTTTACCAGACAAATAAAAAGGAATAAATTAAAAAGTAATGTTTTAATCATAATTATTAATTAAAAATATCATACTAGACGATTTATAGTTGATTTCTTTGTACATTCATTCTAAAAAACTCATTAACATTAATGGAATTGTAGAAGTGCCTCCACTCTGTTTTTGAGGTATGAACAGATGACATTCAGGAGTTAGAGTAATTGCCTGACAGAGAAGTAAGAAGTAACTATTTGGTGAAAAAAAATATAATAATTGAATTTTCATAAATTTAGTTAAATATCAATAATAATTATCAATACTAAAATTTTTTGTCATGTGTTAGCATAAAATGGTGTTAGATTGGTAAAGTAACTATATTCATTAACATCTCAATGTGATTTTGGCACTTATAATTGATTTGTGATCCACACAGATAAAATATGCAATAACATGCGTCATGTATGCTGAATGTCTAATAGTAAATCTAATTTAATCAAAAAATAAGAATAATGAGATTATAATCTGTATTGAATCTAAATCTATCTTTAAAAGAAGTGGAAATGTATAATAATACTGCTGTAAGTTCTTTCAATAACTTAAATCGAATGTAATTCGAAAAAGGCAAATAACAAATTTTATTAGTTATAATAAATCATGGTTATACACCTCACATATAATTCTTATTATAATGTATATACGTGGGTGCAAGATTGGATATATATTGTGATTGCAAATTTAAAAATGTATCACAAAAAACAAAAAATCATTGTTACTTTAGAAATATCTTTGTTTATTCTTTATAATATCATATTTCATAGAAAACTTGTATATGCATAGTATTTTTTTTTTGATTATTTTAATCTCTGATTTTTATCACAATATTATTTTTCTACTTATTTTTTAAGGGTGCACCCGTATGTACGTTTATTTGAGAGGAGGAGGATTACCCTCTCAATTTTGAGGGATTCGTTAGTTTATTTTCTCGATGAATATGCAATAAAATTTGATTTTTACCTTATCAATATACTTCATATAATATACACATGTTCATGTAAAAACTTTTTTCCAAAATCCTCAGGAATTAAGGGATTTTTGAATTTTAAGAATTTTTTTCGAATTTTTTCGAAAAAAAAATATTTTCAGAACAGCCTTAACGGCTAAGATTTAGGAACAATGTTAAGTATCAAAAAGAAAGGAGGTCTGATATAGACAACATATATCGTTGAAGGTTGAAAAGATCTCTAATATTTGAGCCCAAAATTTCAAATTTTAATTTTTTGAAAAAAGAGGCCACCCGTATGTACGTTTAGTTGAGAGGAGGAGGATTATATTTTTGAAAGGGTGAAACATTATGAATATGTTAATTATATAATAATATGTATTATTATAAAAAAGAAAAAATAAAGCACGTTAAAATTTTTCTTTCTTGATTTTTTACAAAATCTACTTAGAATTATGCAAAATATGACTAAATAATTATAAATTTCAAATTAAATTTTAATTTTGATAAATAATTTAAATTTCAAAATATCAAGTTCAGTTCGACTATGTATGTAGTAATTCCTCAATAAAGTGCCAAAACCCTATTAAAATATATGAACATTTTCAACATTTTAATGTTTTTATTTAAAAATTTGATGGAATATGAGCTTCAAACAATTATTATGTAAATAAAAATAATTAAATATATGTATTTATTCGTATTACAACCGTAGTAAGTCGATTCTTCCTTTCTTCTACTGAGGTTTGAATTTGATTTCGAATTGTAAAGAGATTCAAAGGGAAAATACTAGCGGATAAAAACTACCTCCATGAAAGGGTCATAATGGAGTCAAGTTGTATTTTTTGATATTTTTTGCTTTTCGAGCCTAAATAGGTAGCCAAGATAATGCCTAAAAATAAGGTTCTAAATTCTGAAGTTTACATAATCCTCTCGTGTGCACCCTTAAAAAAATTCAAAATTGAAAGTAGGACCACTTCTGGAATTGTCCAAATCTCCATCTGAATTGAAAAACTCATGATCTGAATCAAAACACCCATCCGGAAAAATGTTATCAAGATCCCATGGGTTATCAAAATCAGGTTTCTGTGCATCATTGGTTTCATTTAAGGCTAGGTTGGGCATGTTTTCAGTTAAGGCTGGATCGGGCATGTTTTCAGTTAAGGCTGGATCGGGCATGTTTTCAGTTAAGGCTGGATCGGGCATGTTTTCAGTTAAGGCTGGATCGGGCATGTTTTCAGGCAGAGGTTCTTGAATTGGCTGCTTAGCACAATTTGAGGTCTGATCATTAGCGGACTTCGTAATACCCAAAAATTTCTCTATATCCGAAAGAACATTTTTTAGTTCTTCTTGAGTATGATATTCAAAATCCATTTTTTTCAATTCGTGGCCTTGGATCAAATAAACTTTCCATGGATCATTACTGTTACGTCTGAAGATTATTCTGGACAGATATGGTTTATGTTTAGCCATTGGAGAACAACAACAAAAATAATGAAGTGAAAATTTTATTTCAATATAATTATCAATTTATTTCAATATAATTATCAATTTATTTCAATATAATAAAAATCCTAATGATATATTATTAAATTATAAATATTTTTGCATAAATATGATAAGGATGTCAATTTGGAAGAAAAGTGAGAAAATTCCTAAAATGCTAAAAATTGAATTTTGAGCTCCAACCGCCAATAAAATTGAAAGTACATTCAATTTATGGAAAAAAATTTCATCATATCCCGGAAATTGAGTGAAACTCAATTTCCGGGATATGATCGAGTATGTTCTGTATTTTCAATTTTTGTCTCTTTTAAATTGAATATAATTCAATTTTTGAGGCGACTCATTGAAAATTCAAAATTATGTAAAATTTGGTGGAAATAATTTTAAAGTGACAAAGAATTCTCTAATAATTATTCTCTAATCTATTCTTCCATTTTACATGTGATGGTGATTATCAGGCTGAAATAAAGCAAAAAAATCAAAATTAATTTAATTTAAAAAAAAATAATAATAAAAATATCATTCAGATCAAACAGTTTTGTCTGTAACTAATCCATTTACAAAAGAGGTATATATAGAATACTAATTTAGATATTTTGAGAATATGTTATATCAAATTATGGATAAAATCGAAAAAAGTGAAATGTTTTTATATTTAGTACATACTTTGAATTTCTAGTTCCATAATGAAAGCTATACTAAATTAGCTGACGCTTATATTAAGCTCTCAATTTGGTACAAGTAATTATATATCTGTATATATTACTCACTTTTTCTACACTTTTAGAAAATGAAAAAGTGACTAATATATTCAAAATATATTAGTCGCTTTTTGAGAGGAGGAGCGACGATATATATTTTAATAGTTGCTTGATACTTTTTCGGGCTTATTTATAAGCCCGTAAAAGTGTCATAACTATTTTGAATATATAATACTCACTTTTTCCGACACTTTTGGTTTCGGAAAAAGTGAGTAATGATATATATGTATATATTAGATTTGGTTTTATATAAACAAAATAAAGATATCTTTTAAAACACAAATATAAAAAAAAAATAACAAATAAATAAAAATTAATCATTCAAGAGTTGTAGATCTAAGTTTTTCGTACAATTCTCTTTGTGCATCTTCTGTGAAAGGTCCAGCTCTCTTTGATTCGACGACCTGTTCGAACTTTGATTTAGCCGCATTCAACTGTTTGAAAAGTGAATTATCTGTCTTTCTTGCTCTCTCCAATTTCGCTTCTATTTCTGGCATGTGGAAGTTGTATTCTTCCTTCATGAAAGCGAATATATCATCGAGATGAGTGTCCACGTTGTAATCCACTCTCTCGAAGGAAATAGGAACAAGCATTGACTGTCTATGCATTGCTTCAACTAAATCTTGGAAAGATATTTTAGTTGACATTGTCCGTAAAAAAGTATCTCTCATCATATCCAAATAACCTCGTGAAGCCAATTTCTTTGAACTGAACATCGCGAGTGTTTGGAATTGTCCGAGAGTAACAATGCCACCGTATTGAGCTGCATCCATGTCGTATTGTTCATGCAATTGATCCATCATTCTGTTTTCTTCCGTCGCAAAACAATTAACTAAATAATCCAATAAAACATCTTCAGAAACAATCTGTTCGTCGTCATTTGATATCTTTAGCTCCTCTTTCATGTTGTTCAAGTATCCTTCAGCATTAACACCTTCGGATATGGAATATAACACTTTTTTGGCTAAATCAATTGCAATTGAACCGGAACATGGTGAGAAAACAGGTGGATTCTCATCAAGCTTGTCCTCAAACAGTAGTGTTTGTTGGGTATTAGTAATAATGAAGTTGCCAAGACAGAAACAGTAAAAATCAAGAAAAACAGGGTCACGATATGGAGCTTGAGCGTCTATGAACTGAAGGAAGAGTCTGCAGCGTCTGTTTCCATTGGCAGCATTTTGTTTAGCTGTTTCTACAAGGTCAAAGAAGGTTTCCGCGGCTTCAACAGGAGATCCGAACAAAGATATCAGATGATGATAGATATCCTCGGCGAAATGCTGTCTGTTTGCGGTGTATTTGGTTGTAGGCTTCTTGGAACAAAGGTTTGAAAGCCTTAAAGCGTAGAAATGACTAAATGCTGCCATACACCACTTTAAAGAGCGGATTTTCGGAGGTCTGATGGGCGGAAGGTCATGTAGAATTGATGGGAATAGCTCTCGTGTATGCATCGATGGTTGCCTGTCTTGATCTGAGATTCTGGAAATATCATCTAAAGCTCCAATGGTATCATACATGTATGGGTAGTCTTTCTTGATGTTCTGACGCATGTTATGGGCTTTTTCGGATACTTGGTGGTTAGTAATGTTGACTTCCGGCTTTTTTTCTTCTTGTTCTTCAACAGGAGGTTGTTCTTCCACTTTTTCTATGGGTTTTCCACTCTCGAGTTGTTCTCTAAGAGCTTTGATCTGCATATGTAATGATCTTTTGTTCTTAACTTGAAGATCTAACTTTTTTCGCATATTTGCAAATTTTGTTTCATCTCTTTCGCGAGAATTGGACCATCTCTCTTGGTCATCGCGATATTGTTGCGTAATCTGTTTGAGTTTTGCTTGTGTTTGGTCAACTTGTTGTTTTAATGCTGATGTTCTTTCTTTATGACAGTTAACTAAGTATGTCTTTTCTTCTTGATGCAATTGGACAACTCTGGCAAACAATTCTTGGTACCTTTTCCAGATTGACAACAATAATGTTGATCCTTCAGGAGATTCTGCAGAAACTTGACGGCAAAGTTCTTCGTAAGCAATTGTAAACCATTTTCTTGCATTCGTAGCTAATTCGATTGGATCTTTTGTTTCTTTTTGGTTCTTTTCTAAAACAGAATTTAACCATTGACCGAGATTTTCTACTTCTTGCCTTGTATCTGTAGGAGCAGGAGATGGGAAAACAGGAGTAAGCCATTGGTTATTGTCTGCGTCGTGTGTTGACATTCCTTCTTTGAGTGGAATCGGAGTTTTAACTTCGCGGGCGAACTCTTTTGGAATAAAAGTAGGAACATTTGGAATTGTTTTACTGTCTGATATGTGTGAAAGATCTGCTGTCTTAAGATTTGCCGTAATTTTTCTTGATTGTGGACGTAATGTCGCTCCTTCTGAAGCTGGTTGATTATATGTTCTAGTACTGGATCGTGTGGGACCTCTGTTATATTCCACATTGAATGTCACAGTCATAGGCCTCTTTTGCGGCACTTCCTCCGACATTCAACAGAAAAATTTTCACGTTATTTTACATGCACAAAGTAACATCTAAATAAAGCATTTGAATAAATCATATTTAATATTAATTGATAAAATTACTTATTGAATACATCGAAAACGTAATGTTTATAAAATTTGGAAATCAAATTTACACAGCAATCAAAAGTCCAAGTATATTCAGCATAATTCTTTGGCAAAATATACATTGTGAGTTTCATTTTTTCCAATAACTGAAAATGGATGAATTCTCATCGAATTTTAATGGATAACATCATAATTGATTGTTTATTATATTACGAATAGTTATTCTATATCATATTAATGAATTGCATTTTGTGTTGATTAATCAATTCACTGGCACTCACTTTATTAATCAGATTTTTTTGTCTTATTCAAATAGATGCCAATCCTGTTGATTAATTATGTTTGACTCGTTGTTTAATATGTATTTGTTCACTCTCTTTGATGAATATTTGATAATATAAAATTTGATGAGATATGTTAATAAACTTTTCCAATATATTTCTCTCATTGCTCTATCTTTCTTAAAACGAGTGTATATTCTAATCTCTTTCATAATGTTGTTTTGGTTTCCAGCTTTCATCTCATCAACTTGGTGGAACTTTAATATTGCTGGATTTCAACTAAAACTTAGAAATATTCGCAACAAGCCAATATTTCTCTTACTTTATAACAAATACTGCCCTTATTGTCAAGGTTTGCCTGAAGGAATAAAAGCTTATTCCCAAGGATTAGGAAATAGAGATGATATTTACATCTCAATGATTGATTGCTATTCAGAATTATCATGTAGTTTCTTCAAAATCAGCGGAACACCAACTTTATATTTAATAAATGGTCCTGATGAACAATACTGGCCAAAATCACCTGAAAGAGGACCAGAAGGTTGGGATAGATGGATTAATCAGACGTTAAATTACTCCTTCACAGAAATCACTTCGAAATCTCAACTTGAAGAAACTTTAGATAACTATACAGACGGAGGTTCCGTTTTCCATCTAGAAGTTCCTTCTGAAAATCATATATACTATAAAAAAGTTCGCGAATTAACAAAATATTATAAAAATTTCCAAGACGTTTTCCTTTTTCAGATCAATTCGTCAATTAAAGATCCGAAATTAACAGCTTATACATCAAAATATTGCCAAAACACATTTTCCGGCTTTTCATTTCGACTTGAGTCATTTATTAACAAATACAAATTCGGTGTTCTTCATCCCTACTCTCCATATGAGCTAATTCATTCAATTCAGCAAAATCCTGGAGCAATTTTATTTAATCACGGACAAATTGTAGATTCTCAGCGAGAGGCACTCAAAACCATATCAAAAGGCAATTGCAAACTTAATTATGGATACGTAGATGCTTCAGAAGATACAGATTCCTTAAAATACGTTAAAGCAGCCCCTTCAGAAATGCCATTCCTTGCTGGCATTGGTCGTCTTTCTGGAGCAAAGCTTATCTATAAAGGTAAAGTTGCTGACGCTTGGAATTCCGGATTTTTAAATAAAACTGTTAAATATGCTTCTGGAAACATTCTGAAGTCATTAATAGCCCAAGCTGAATTCATTCATCTTATTATTGGTTTGCTGATTATTCTTATTGTTCTTTTATCGATTCTAATTTATATGATTATCGAGATTTGCAGATTGAACAGAATGAGCAAAGACATGCAAAAAATAGAAACTGTATAATAGTTTAACATGGAAAAAACTGAGAAAAATTGATATATTTTCCTTATTTGTTTGTTATGTAAAAAAATACTATTAAATTATGCAATTTTAATCATATGCACTCAATTTCACGGATGAATACTTTTGTTATTTTCCATATGTGAGATTTTTTCATTTTATTCAAAATTTTTCATAAATAATCCATCAATTAATAAAAAGATTATTACATAAATCCGAGTTCTCTCACATAAAAAATCTAAAGTCAGAGTGAAGTCGGCTAAAAATAAGGAAATCAAATTTTCAAAATGGAAAACGAAGCGTAATCGTTTTTCGATAAATAGAAACGATTTTACATTAGCTGTTGATTATAGATATTATATTAAATTGGAACAGCGATCATAATCTTATCAATTATATTTGAGAAGAATCCGATCATTGTATTTGAAAACTGACAAGATTTTAAAAATGGGAATTCTGAATTGGATCATTTTCTGGAACGACAATCGAAGCCATTCGATTATTTATCATGCAGTCCGACAGGTGTCCATTATTTCCTTGTTTATTTTCGCAGTCCTCTTTCTTCCATCATTTCCAACAATTTATTTGCTATCTCTCTCATTAATCGAGTACACGAGAAAGTGCAGTGGCATCTGTCTCGTTACCCTTTATATATTCTTTCTTTTTGTTACATGGTTTACAGGATTTCTAATTCAGCCTTTTGAAGATCACTTACATCCACGAATTACAGTTTTAGACTTACTCAGAGGTGCAATGTACGTAATGGCAGTAGTATTTGATCGTTTAACAACGAAAAGATTTGGAATTGTAAGTAATATTACTTTATTTTCATTTCCAATCTTTTTAACATGTTCTGCTGAATTTATAGCGGTTATTGATCACCTTGGTACCTCAATTCATGTTTCATCTTTTTGTAATACGTTTTCAGATTTCACATTTCTTCCATTAAGATTCATAGGCCCTTCAGGAGTTGCTTTTGCAGTTGGATTCTTCGCATCATATACATCTATGTGGCGTGTTGCCCGCTATTTAGGAAGAAGAAAATTTAGAATTCATATGAGGGTTTTTCCGATCATTATTGTCGCAGTTGTTGTATTTAATTTCTTCTTTGTACGATCAGAAACACCAGCGAAGGCTGTTGTCATTGAAAATTTCAATAATACAGACGTTTCAAAAATCCGCAAGTTAATTAAGAAAGTAAAGAGCAACCCAGAGTTTATAATCATCGATATGCCAATTACAGGTGATATTTCACTTCTACTTTCGTTAAAATCGAAATCATTACTTACATTCTGTCATTCCAGCAATAAGACAGATACTTTATACGTTGTTACATCTAATGGAACCACCCAGTTCCCTCTTGTCCATCATCAGAAGTCAAAAGTCCCATTTTTGTACAAAATGCAAGAAATTCTTGTTTTGAACACAACACTTGGTCGAACAGCTTTCCTTGTTGGCAGGGACATCTTATTTGCAGAGTTCTTCGCTTCACAGCCTGTAGATATGATTATTTCTTTTGGCGCATCTGAATATGATGAAAAAGCCGGACTAATGACCAGAGTTGGTTCCATAATTAGTTCTACAACAGGAGCATATCATTTCCATACTTCTGGTTACTCAAAGACGTATCTTTTCAAAGGAAATGGCCATTTAGCATTCACTGCAAATCCTGATAAAAAAGAAGTCAGAGAGTTCAATATTTACGCCAGCGAAAACAAGATTTTGATTGGCGGAAACAAATTGATTTTCTTCGCTTTCTTTTTCCATGTTTTAGGAAGTTTGTGGATCATTTTGAACTTCTTACCTTATCTATACGTGAGAAACATCACTCAATTACCTCGTGGAGTTGTCATGACAATTCAGGACTCAACAATGTAATATTATTATTTGTTTATTATATTTATAAAAATATATTAAGTATTATACTTAATGTTTTTTCTAGGTACTCTATTGAAGTTATATATATAATAGAGACAAGATCTGCTTATTAAATCGTTTTAAAAAAAGATTGTAGTTGATATAGTTTAAACTCTATATATTCGAATAAGCTTATTTCATATAAATAATAACTCTCATTTTAGATGATGAAACAGTCAAAACTACCATTAATTGTATTTCACATAAATAGATATCAGTTTCTCAATACCAGCATTCTTAATTCGCCTAGAATTCTTGAATTCTTGTGAGATATCTGTTTAGATATTTGATCTGGATGATTAAAGGTAGTAACTAAGAGGTATTTTTATGTACCATGAAATGATTCATATAAAAACAAGAGAGGGAAAAGAGATTCTAAAATTAATAATACATGTTTATAAATAAGAAAAAACAGCTAAGGAAAACAAATATTCCCTTCTTTTCATACATTTATCTTCGGCGAATAACGCGTAAAAATCTATCATGGTATGGATCAATGAATTCTGTTTTTTTTTGGGAGGCAAAAGCAATGTTATTTTGGCTACACCATGTCCCAAATGCCCGATGCTAAAGGAGCCATCCCATTCTGGCATGTTCTCATTGCCAGTTATCAAATTTGTTTTGGATAGCAGGTATTTTTTATCCAATTTATATTGGAAACTTGGAGGTAAAGTGTAATTATATACGAAGCCAGATCCTCCACCTGAACCTCCCATTTCATTTGTTGTTGGTTCTGTTGATGCACCGCCAAACCATCCACCTCCCGCACCTCCTCCACGGAAACTATTATTACCACCATATTCAAAATCTCCTGAATGAGCACTATAGCTGCATGACCCTGGAGAATTTTGTGTTCCGCCGTTCATCGTATAAAAGTCTACGGATTCTCCATCAAATCCACCTCCAGAACCGCCAGAATTTGATGAATCCACTGATAATGTTCCACCTGACCCTCCACCACCGGCAACTATCACCCTGGAATAAAGATCATCATTTCCGATGCGTATATCGGTCGCACCTCCACCACCATTTTGTACAGTTCCATTTGGGTTGATATTCATCCCTCCTCCATTATAACCACCATAAACAATCTTCTTTTCAGTATCATTTCTTCTTGGTGGAGAACCTCCCAAATGAATAAATATTTTGGTTGGTGATGGTAGATTAATAATTCCCTTTGCATATCCTCCTCTTCCAGGATTTGCTGCCAATGGTGAGTACATCATACCACCTTCTGCTCCCCATACTTCCAATCTATACTTTCCTTTTGGAAGTATCCCTTCGTATGATGTGCAATGAGAATAATTTTTGCATGGAAAATAAAATATAAAACATGTTTCATTTGATGAAATATTTGGAGAACCAGCCGCAGAATCAGTTAAATTGAATTCTATAGTTGCACCATGGACAATGGTGATTAACAAAGCAAGCATTTTTATGAAGAAAAATTCTCATTGTATTTTTAATTGTGGTTAATTCAATTTTCAATAGGACTCAGAAAAATTTAAACTGCATAATATTAATATAAATAGTATAAGAAATAAAATATTTGTACAACAAAATTTTTTCAGAGAAAATTTGTCAGAAGAGGTAGGGCAACGATAGAAAATTTTTGGAAAAAAAGTTCGGAGATCTTAAACGTATCATATTCCCTGCATGGTTTGGTATCTTCCGCCATGCGTTGTGCCAAACATATTGACACTTTCCAATAATTAATTTATGGTATGAGTCACAGAGTTAGATTATAAAAGAAAGTAAATAATTGCAATTAGAAATCATATATGTCGGAAATCAAATGTTGATGAGCAGAAACCTTTTACTCATCATAAGAGAGATAAATCACTAAAGATTTGTATACATTAAAATTTGATATTTGGTGCTCGAAAACTGTCTGATGGGACTCCTCCAAAATGAACCAATCTATCGCTGAGGACCAAATTAGATGATGTGGATGGTGTATTCTCTAATTCTAACTTAGGAAGAATGGGAACAAAACGAATGACGACAACAACATGTCAAACATAGATTAAATATCTATGAATCAATAAAGTATACGTGCATTGAAGGTGATAACGATCACTTGAGGCTTATAACTCTTTGACTAAATTATGCAATAATTAAATATAATCATTTTTATATTTTTATACTGATAGTAATTAATATACTATCCTGCTTAATAAATGGTATGATCAAATTTGTTTGAAAATTTAATTATGTATATGAAACTATGTCTTCTATATAAAAATCAAAATTTTCGGACGAACCTAGATTGAACCTTTATGAAAATCTATCATTTTTGTTAATTGAGTTAATATGAATCTTTTACATATGTATATATAGCATTGATAGCTTATATAATCATGGTTTATTCCATATTAACATATTTTTTCAGTTAAATTTGTTAATAATATCATGTAACAAATTAATTCAAGATTAGAATGTCTACAAAATGCTAACAAATAAGAACAAAATACGATTTCTCGACTTAAATTTTAATATGGAGTAGTTTTTCGTTTAAATCTAATTAAAAATGAATGAAAACTTATCTTGTACTATTTTCATTCAAAGATTTTAATAATGTAAATCATGCATTTTCATAATTCAGTACAGTTCTTTTTAGAATTAAAGTTGATGAGGATGATATTTGTGATTTAAAATAATTTGTTAATGTTCACCTTTTATTCATCACCTTGTGGTATGCCCTAAAGCAATAGCATTATCAATTCTGCTGAATTGATCAACTCAAAATTCCAAAAAAAATTCAAAATTTCAAAAATGAAATTAAACAATTTGAATTTTCACATGAAAAAATCAATTTCGAAAAAAATTTGGAAAATCAAAGTATTTGATAATTAGTCAAATAATCAATTTACATCGTTTTTACTCATAAAAAACAACTAATTTTTGATTTTGATATCATATTTGATAAATACTCATTCCAGAGTTGACGTAATGTATTAATTATTGTTAGAGATATTGCTTTCGCAGCAAAATTCTTATTTCATGAAAGAAAAAAAAATGTTTTTATTCCAACAAAAACAAGTAAACAGATGAATGGAAACGTACTATATTTTCATAAATGTAGTAATCGGCGTGTCAGCTTTTGTTTATCATGTTCGAGTCAAAATGTATTAACTTGTAATAAGAAATATTCGAAGATTATATGAAGTATTGAGCATTCTTTGTAGAAATATTTGTAATTCATTACTAACATATATAATAAAGTTGTTTTTTTTCCCTTATTGCAATAATTTTGTCTGATTTTAATAACTTTTCATGTATACGAGTTGTGTGAATATGCATCATAATATGCGTAAATATACTTATTTGCGACGAATAATGTGGTTGCATAATGGAGGTGCTAAATTTTGATTTTTAATATGGGGCTTTGGTATGTATAATCATGTTCTTATCTCAACGTAGGAGTATTGGTGCAATATGATTAAAATTTACGAGGTTGATCTTAAATTGAATAATTCTGGAGTATAAATCACAATGCAGCTAATTCTATGTTAAAGATAGATACAGATTGTAGTAATCAATTAGGGAGTACAAATTCATTCTTTCATTTCTGTCGTATTGAGCAGAAAGGAAGAGATCATAACCCTAGGAAAAAAAGCCCAAATTTGTCACTTTTCATAGTACGTTAAACTCAATTCGCTCGGCGAATGCCGAGCACACGTACTCATCATTCAACATAATATTCTCATTCTTTGGTTATTATAGTGCCAGACAACACAAGATTTCAAAGAATTACTTGAGTTTTCAATTAATCTTAATCCGATTTTAGATTTATCGAGAACTCCATCATCACAATCACATACTTCAGTGCGGTAACTACAATTATCCATATACAGAAGGAAGTTCTTTTCGAACAACTCATTTGGAGTCTGTTTTGGAAAGAACTTCTTTCTGTCCGACTTAATTTCATAGTTCCTGATCAACCAAAAGACAGAAACCACACACTATCTACTTAGGAAAGGAGTTCTTTCTAAATCTTCCTTAAATTGAGATTTTACGAGAGATAACCCTTCTATTGACTTAAAAATGAACATTTTGATATCTTTAGTATCACACATGGTCATATATAGTATTTCATCTACATGAATACATTCATCTTTCGAAGTCTCTCATTAAATGGGAGGCTTCGAAAGATGAATCGTTTTATTCATACAACTTTAAATCTCGAACACATTTAGAGAGTGAGTATATCATTTTATTCTTGTTTTGAGTTTATTCTGATTCAAAATTGCAGTGAAAACAGAAGTTCACACATCATATCTGAATGTGAGCTCATCTATACTTATACGATCTCAATACCTCCACTCTAAGCATAAGAGGTGAAGTTATATAAAAATTATCAGATGCGTTGAAGTCTCAAAAGTATTGCCTGAATGCTTGTTTCATATTTGTCCAAGTAGTTTCAATGAATAAATGTATTGTTTTTTATAATTTCGATTTATTTTTAGAAAATATTCAATATAAACCTTTATTGTGTTATTTACATCTCATAAATTCTCTGTCTAAATCATATAAAAGTGCGTTTTACCCCTATGAATCAAGAAATTCATTCAATATTCATGGTATATTTATTAAATTTATACGATTTACTAATAATCAATATTATATCCTCATAAATAGCAATATATTTTGGTAATCTATGATAATCATATACAATATTTGAAATCAAATTTTCATTAGTTTAGGTTCCTTGTTAATAGTAAACCATTATATTTATTACTAATAATAAAATCTATGTGTCGTATTGAAATTCAATAAAATTACTTATTCGGTCCAAAAAAACAAATTAGATAAAATTTTTCTTTTTTTATGTAATTTTTGTTTTTCATTTTTCTCAAGATCCTAAGTTATGTTCTAACTTTTGACATCATATCCTATCATGCTAGGCTATATATTATAGCATATCCAAAAGGCAAGGAAATCTATCAGAGAAGCCTTTTTGACCTATCGTTGCCCTACCTCTTTGTCAGACTGTAAAAATAAATTGAGAAGTCAAGATTTTAAAGAAAAATTGAATTAAATTTTGTTCATAATGCTATATTAATATAACCCAATCCTGGCACAATAATAAATACTTAACAACGTATTCCCTTCAATAATGAGATTTAAAAAAAATATCGCGCTTCGGCAATTTGGATATGAAATTCATAAATGGCTATGCCTATAGATGATGTTTTCAGCATTTGCGCTTGTATTTGAATGACCAAATGTCAACGTTCAGGCAAAAGATAATTTACGTCTTATCGGCATATTCAATGCCATTCTTAAAACGATTGAAAACTTACCGATATATTCAAAATCAGTAATTTTCCATCGAAAAATTGAAGGGAAAAAATGCATTTCCGATACGAATCGATCGAATTTCGAGATTTGCAATGCATTCATAAGAAGACGCCGAATGATGAAGGAAATATCAATGAAATTAATTATCCAAATTCTGATAATCAACGTTTTGAAGGTTGAAACTTACTGACTGTTATTATCGGTTGGGAAAATCATTGTTTTGTAAAAATGATGGTTCGAATCAAATTTGGCGACATCAAAATGAGCAGATTATTCGTTTTACTTGATTTTGAATTTAATACGAGAAATAGATGTAGAAATATGTTCTATTTTGAACATTTTTATCAAATTCGAGATTTAACCATTATTCAAAATTGTTCAAAATAAATTTTAACAATTGCATAACTAATTCATGATTTATAATCTTATTATATGAAATTAACTAATAATATCTTTAGTAAGCTATCAAACAAAATAAAAAATCGTTTCCACGCTATTCAACTACATGGAAATAAAATCAAAAAAATTAAATATCAATACCGTATTTTTCTTTCAAATTCCTAGCAATTTCCCTGATATAATATCTAACAGGTCTCATTTGATAAATCTCATCTAAATTTGCGCCATGTTTAATAAACCATGCAATGATATGATCATACGAACCACATTTCATGCAAAAAACGTATATAATTGGCTTCTCATCGTAGTCAGCTTTCAAATTAATATCATAACCATTTTCATAAAGCAAATTCAGAATTTCTATGGCTATGTGTGGATCTCTACTGGATAAATATGTAGGCCCTGGCATCCTTTGTTCATCTAATCTATTGACATCTATTCTATGTTTTAATAATTCTTTTGCAATATCAGTATTCATGGAAGAACAGATATAATGCACTGTGCTTTTACGAAACACGTTAGTATGAAAGTCAAAAACTGAAGAATTTTTGATTATTAAATCAACAATTTTCATATTTGGTTTATATGGATCTAATGCCTTAAATAAAGGTAGAGTATTATTAGAAAACTCATCAGCTGCGTATCCATTGTTGATTAAGAATTCAACAATGTCGTAATTCTCGTGTGCGATTGCAACTAATAATGGATTGGAATTTAGTCCTCTTAATTGGTCTTGATGTGTAAGTATTTCTATAACTGGTTTAATATAGTTCCTTTGGCATGCAGCTGATAGTGATTCGGTGATTTGATGATTTGAAAATGGGGAAACATCATATCCTTTAGAAATCAAGGCGCTGATTATTGTATATGCGTTAGAATTGCATGCATAAAAGAAATATTTATGGTCAGAACGTTCTGCATTAATTTCTTGTAATGAGAGATGATTTATTATGTATAATGCGCATTCGATAGAATTGTTTGCACAAGCAAAATGCAATGGCATGAGATTATTCATATCTTCTTTGTTTAATTTTACATTTTTTACACGATGTAAATAAATAAGGATGTCTAATGAATCATGGAATGCAGCAGCATGTAATATATATGAGCTATTAACATCAATGATAAACTTTTCTTTCCTTAATGAGTTGATGTAAGGGATATCAAAAAATAATTTCACTTGTGTATTTTCTAGATCACTTATTTTGTCAAGTGCAAGGATGTCATCCTTCAAAATAGCATTGAAGCATGTTGGATCCCATTTGTTGCACATGGCAAAATTAAAACTGAAGAATTCAAATTGAAGGTAGGAAGAAATGTCACGTTTTTGTTTAAAATTTTCTTCCGACTTTTGTTCTTCTTCCATTTTCTCTTGATCTAATAAGACAAAACGAACATCTAAAGTGGCATCAGATAGATCTCGAGTATTGTTGCAAGTTCCTCTTTCAAAGAAAGAAAAATATGCATCATGTATAGAGATAATTGTGAAGATAATAGCTTTTATTTTCAGAAGTAGTCCAACTCAATTTTGAAAGAATTGGAACCTAAAAATATAAAAAATGTATTTTTAATATAGTATTAAACCGACAAAGTGTGGCGAAGTGAAATCAAATCGATATTAAGGGTTCTGACCGACCAACTATCTCCTCTCAATTTTCTTCCACTTCGAGACACTGTATATGCCTTCATGATTGATATTATTCCATGTACCCCACACACCATGATAGTGTTACTTCATAATATTCTATACATATATGATATGTGAATCTCAAATCCACTATATGAATTTGAAAAAAGCAATTTATGGTATCAATTTTTGATTTTCGCATTTTAAAAATATGTGGTAAAAATGCCTCGAGTTTGACTAAAAATTTTCAAAATTTTCAAAGTTACGGATTTGGCAGCACTTATATGTACAGAAAATATCCATCGCCAAGCGGGGCTTCGAAACCACCCCAATCCATAATTATTGAATACAATTTCGTCAAAAATACAAATTCTAGCTAATTTAGATATATAGTATCTATAGAAATGTAAGAGTATGCATAAATGTATAACATTTTATCGATTTTTTTACTACTTTTGCTCAAACTTTTTCAATAACAAATAAATGATGCTGTCCATGAATATTTAGTCTCATCTAATTCCACACATTCTATTTCCTAGTCATTGCAGATGAAATTTTATTTGTTACTTTAATATTTAAGAAAAAATTCTATATAATCTCGTTGATACTTGAATATCGCAATATGAGGATTATCGAATTACATAATTTGACGAATTGTATTTTTATGGAAAATTTGACTAACAGATACTGTTACTTTATTGGTTAAAGTAATTTTATTAGAATAATTAATCATCGAACCTTATACTTATTCCACTGAGCTAATATTCGAACAGACCTCTCAATAAATTTTAAGTATATATTCTTTCCCGTCCAGCATATCACTGTTACTATATGAATGTTTGGAGCTTTTGAAAATATTAAATAGAAATTTAGAGTTTGTCTGTTACAAACTTGATCATTTGGTTCTTTTTTATTTGCATTAAAATTTAAATTATATCAATAACCCTTCTGATTATTCTGATGGTTTATCATTATAATTCCTTTGTGTTGCTTATTATGAATTTCGGGTTTATATAGCCCTAAGGCTTCTTAAATGTAAGTAATAGAATTTCAGCCAATAAAAGCGCATTATAGTATATTTTGGGTTGAAAATATAAATATACATAAAATTTTTATATTAATTCCAGAAATTTGGTAATAGATATCAAAATAATTATATGAATTTAATCTTACCATCTTATTATTGCAAGATAACGATAAGTTAGATTCTGTATAATGCAACAATATTACTCCAACCAATATTGGTTCACTAGATTGTGGCACAAAGAGTTGGACTACTTCTTGATTTTCTCAAAAAATGATTCCTTGTAAAATTATTTGCGAAAAATATATTAGTACTATCTTGAACAATGGTCATAAATATAAAGAAAATAATCGAGAGCAATGGAATATCTCTGAGATTGTAATAAGAAATTACTCAATTGTTTGCGAGTAGTATATGAGTGCGGGTTGTGTGACTTTTTTTGTATCATCTATATATAGACGATGCATTAAAATATATTTATTTATAAATCATTACAAAAATTAACATTAATTTTAAAATAATTTATTTTTTTATCTTTTATAAAAGAAGCTATATATAGATGATGTCAGATATTCCGCGATTAATTAAACATTGTTTAAATCCTGAATGGGTTAAACTTCAATTTAAAAATGAAGATTGTGAATTATTAAATGAATATGAAAGCCAAAATAAGCTAATGAGGTATAAATATAATGATAAAGAATATTTAATTTCATGGAATCAATGGAGTCATAATCAAAGACCTCATAAACGAGAAGAAAAATTGAAAATAATGAAATGGAAATCATTGATGACATTAAAGAGGATGGAATTCCTAAATTTTGTAGAAAAACCTTTAGAACTAAGTTAGGAGCATATAAACGTAGAGTATTAAATCCTGAATATCTTAAACATCAATTTAAAAAGGAAGACTGTGAATTATTAAACGTTAATGAATATGAAAATGCTAAATCAAAACTGAGATATATAAATATATATTGGAAGTGATGATGAAAGGTGTAAAGATAAAGATAAAGTTTATTCAGTTTCATATAATAACTGGCACACGTTAGGGAATAAGAAAACATTTAGGAGATTATGGTAAAAGTTCCGAATTCTTCAAATCTAGTAGTATTGAGAGAGTAAAAGAAATCAGATATAATTATCATTCATGAATGAAAAATAAACTTTAAAAATTCATGTCTTACATTTTTTGAATAATTTATTTTTTTAATTCGTATGAAAATGAGTGTCAAGACTAACGACGTTAAAAAATTGGGATTCACAAACGAGGAAATAAAGGATATATTAGAGGAGGCGAGTTATGAAGTTAATAAATATTATTTAAGAAATTGTCAAAAATTCGCGGAGTTATTAAATGATTTAGATTATGATGGAAAAATGAATAAAGATGATGTTATAAATTTCTTATATCCCACATCTGAAGAAGAAAAACCTAAAGAACCTGATGTTTTCCCTGAATATTATGAAGAACGGATTAAAGATGATGAATATGATGAAATTGAAAGACTGGAAAAAATAAGAGATGAAATAGATGAAAAAATTAAGGAATTAAGAGAAGTTGAAAAATATAATGAGAATGAAGTAGAGGGTTTAATGAATATCCCAGCTTCAGAATCAGAAGTTCAAAAATCTCATGAAGAAAGATATAAAAATTACTTTTTGGAATCTACTAAAAATTTATTAGATGGTGAAATAGATGAAACACTTTCAGAAGAAGGCACAAAATTTATTCATAAACATAAGTTACAATTTATTGACGATGGAGATTATCCATGTATATTACTTTCACCTCCTCTTGATTCTGAAAAATTCAAAAAAGCACTGAAAAATGTAACATATGCAACAAATACGATTAAGAAAGAAGACCATGATATTTACACAAATTATTATTTAAATAAATGTGCAGGTGTTGATAAAGTTTTTGATTTGTTAGATAAAATATCAAAAGAAACAATTGGTACATATAAAATTTTATGCGATTGTGGTTTCATTATTGAAGATACTAATAATGTTTCATATGAAAGAACAGCACCGAAGGAAGACGAAGTTGAAAGGTCTATACCATTCGTTATTAAGAATATAAAAGATATGAAAACTTATAAACATTATATTTATTCATTTATTTCAGAAAAAATGGAAGCAACCCATAAAACATCATCTCATCATTTTATAGCTATTCATACATTCCTTTTCAAAGTTGTGAAATTAAATAAGACAGGAATTAGATTTAATGTATCAGGGTACGCATTCTTGAGTAAATTAAAATGTATTCGTCACGTCGCAGATGATAAAAATTTATGTGTTCTTAATTCATTTTATGGACTTTAGCCCTGGACTTTAAAAAAATAAACTTTATTTTTATTTATTTTTTAATTTTTTATTCTTACATAAATGAACAAAAACGGAACAGCTAAAATGAATGATAATCAAATAAGAGCCGAAGGTAGAAGGTTATTTAAACGCTTCTATAACATTCCTGATGGTGTTAATCCTAAAACTCGTAGAAGTTATTTAAATGAAGCCATAGATGCATATGAAGGATTTGACATTTCATCAGAAAGTGAGAGGTTAGCAAGAATGTTAAACGTTAATATTGATTTTTATTATTGTGACCCTCAACCAGAAGACGTAGACATAAATAAGGTAGACTTTCCATTAGTGGAATCAATAATGATAGATCCAGAATTTGAAACAGTAAATATTTTATTAACACAGAGTCCATGTGGAAAACTTCACGCTGACAGAATTACAGACGTTGAAGCACTCACAGGATATAAAGTTTGCCCCTTTTGCAAAGAAGAAGTATATTCTATCCGTGATGACCCAGAAAGGAAAAACCAAAGAAGATTTTTAAAACATTGTGAGAAATGTAAAGAAAATAATGGAAGATTAATTCAAGACGTTCAATTGCAAAACACACAACAACCATATGCACCACATATCACGAAACAGAAGATATATCAATGGCTATTAGCTCACAATTTGCAGGAATATTATAAACCAACAAGATATTATATTACTTTTGACTTCGAAACATTAGAGACTAAAGAAGAACTTCAACTTTCTGAATGTGCAACTTTGAACGCTTACTTAAAACCATTTATGGTATCATCAACTGTCAAAATAAAGCCGCAAACGGACTCTTTGAGTCCTGAAGGTCTTTCAGACCGAAGCGGCGAGGTCGTAGACCGTGATAAAACATTTACGAGGAATTTTTGCTTAACATCAAGTGATTCGTTCATCTCTGATTGGATTGAATTTTTATTTTCAACCTGTTCATTAGTTGCTAAATCAAATATTGAACAATATGAAGAATTAATGAAGCCGCAAACGGACCAAACGGCGGGGACTTTGTCCCATACATTAAATGAAAAACAGAAGGAAGCATTTAAAGAACTTCTAGATGAGGAATTCAATAAAGTGAATATCATAGGTTTTAATTCGGGAAAGTTTGATTTAAATTTAATTCTTCGTGATTTAAACACTGCAAAATGGAAAATAAAATCAATGCTGGGTTCTTCTTCTCAATTTAAGCAAATCATTGTAAAGAAAACAAACTGTCCATATGAATTAAGATTTATTGACATCAGAAATTATATAGCGGGTGGAACATTAGACCAATTCACTCAAGATTTCGGAAACAATAAATCACGTGTTAAATCCTTTTTCCCTTATCAATTCATCACATGGGAGAATTACGAAGATGAATTATATAAAGTGGAACCATTCACTCAAGATTCATTTTATTCAGCATTAACTCAAGAAACAATATCCGATTCAGATTATCAAATATATCTCAATGATGCTAAAAATTTTGAGAATAGATTAGAATATTTTATTCATTATTGCAATAAAGACGTTGAAATTATGATTGACCCAATTGATAAAATTATTGAAGAAACATTTGTTTATAAAATTGACATGCTTCATAATCTTTCTTTATCATCGAATGCATCAATGATTCGTTACGCGTTAGCATATAAGAACTTCAATCCTAACGAAACATATCCAGAAGAAGAAAATGTGGAATCAAGTTTTGAATTAACAAAAAAGTATTGGAAATATAAAATTGATTCATATAAGAAACAAGATGAAAAAGCAGAAAGGGATACTAAAAACAATGTTTCAATGGATGACTATCAATACTATCACGATTTAATCCTTTCATCTAAATGCAAAATGTGTGGTAAAGCGTTTACATATGCTAATAAACCAACATTAGATAGAATCGATAATGAAAAACCACATACCAAAGAAAATTGTCAGTTAATGTGTTGTTATTGCAATGTCGTAAAATCAAATAAAGATGAAGATGTTCAACGTTTAAGAATCAATTTAAGAAATTATACATTAAAAAATAATTTACCAATGACTCTAGATTCAGTTGAAGCTTATCACATCCTCCGTAATGGAATTACTGGTGGTTTATCAAATGTTCAACATAGAGTAAATCTTAAAGGAATCACGCACATTAATAAACTTTCATATAATCCAGAAACTAAAACTGTATCAAATGAGGACACTTCCAACATTATGACTCATTTCGTTGGTGTTGACTTTAATTCATTATATCCTTCATCATTTTCATCTAATCCTCATGATTTCATTCAATATACTGACCATAAAATGTATATGCCGGGAAGATTGAATGGTGTTATCATTTGTGATACAGCAACAAAGAAAGCAAAAGCACTGGGAATAATTAAGAAGAAAAATACTTTATTCGTGGCTGAAGTAAAGGGTCACATTGATGAAAAATACATTAATGATTACATAAACTTTTTACCAATAATAAGAAACTTAGATATTATCACAGATGAAAAAACAATTGGTGGTTTTATGTATAATTACATGAAATCAAACAATCTACCAGTTGACCAGAAACAGAGGAAATTAACTCAGTTAGCATCAACACACAACCAATATCAACCATTTTCTTCTTATTATCTTTGGTATCTAATAGACAGATTTCATTTTATCATTGATGACATTCAATCAATTTTAACATTTACGAAAAATACTTGTTTTAATGAATTTGCGAATGAATTTATGAACGAAAGACAAAAGGCTGAATTAGAAGGAAATAAAGGAAAAAGTTTATTTTGCAAGATTTCACTTAATGGATCATATGGTTACGATGCAATGAATACACAAAATTACGCAAAGACTAAAATAATGAATGCACAGAAGGCACGCGTTGCATGTATGTCAAATAAGTTTAAAAACATAAGAGAAATAGGTGAAGATACGTATCAAGTGATGCTTAAAGATAGATTTTATAGATGTGATACATGTTTACAAGAGGCATTCTTCACTTTAGATAATGCAAAATACTGGTATTTGGTTTTCATTTATGATTTTATGTATAAATGCATGGATGTTAATCGTTTTCATTTCATTGAAGGTGATACTGATTCATCTTATTGGGCAATCGCTGGCGACCCAAATCTTCCTAACACTCAAGCATTTCAAGCAATTGTTACCGATAAAAAATTTTATGATAAAAACATTTACAAATTCGCACCTTTTGATTTCTTCTGTTTTAATGAGAAATTTAAACCTAAATTAAAGAATAAAGCTGAAGAAAAAGCACATGAGAAGAAGTTATTGGGTTTAGCAATTGAGAAACAAGGTGATAACATGGTTGCTTTATGTCCTAAGTGTTATACTTCATTCAACGGTTCAATTGATGGAAGTGATTTTAAAAAGATTGCACAAAAAATGAAAGGAGTTAGTTTACGACAAAATAAACAATTAACACCTAAAAATTATTTGGATATAATAAATGATAAAGTGATATTTGATGGTCAGAATATTAATTTACAACTTAAAAACGGGTCAATGACTCGCTTAACAATCGGTAAGACTGCATTAACAGGAGCACACACTAAGGCTGTATGTTGTGAAAATGGATGTTGTATGCCATTTATTTAATAAAATACCACAGAAGAGACAAAAGGAACCGTTAATAATGGTTTTGTACTATGATTCAAAGAGGTGGGCACCCTTAAAACATTTATTTTATTTTTTATAAATGGATAACACAGATTTAAAAATTTTAATTGATGATTTAGTACTTTAATCAAATTTTCTTGATTATTATGATTTAAAAGCATATCTCCAAAAACATAATAACAATATAACGGGTGATGATATGGATTATTATTATTCGTATTATAAAAATGAAGTTTTGAAATATCATGATAAAATAATTTCTAAAATTAAAGACAAAATTAAAAATAATGAATATACAAAGGGAAAAAGTAAATCACAACTTAAACAATTGAAAGATTTCAAAAATAAAGTATTAACAGAAGAAGATATTGATGGATTATATAAATTATATAAATTATATAATCCTGAGCCGCAAAAACCAAAGGAACAAAAACAAAAGGTGCAAAACGCCCAGGTCCTTCAGACCATAAATGAAGCACAAGCTTTAATTTATGATTCATTAGTTAAACCATATTCAGCCCGACTTTTAAATGAAGATCAACTTTTGGAATTCATCCTTCAACATAAACTCGAAGCAGGAAAGTATATCAAACCTTTATATACAGCATATTTAAAACAAATGAAAAGAATACATCCAGAATTAATGAAAGGAGGAATGAAATCCAAAACTTCATCATCCAAAATCAAAGCAGATAAAATTAAACCACTTGCAACACCAAACCCTCCAACGACAGTACCTCCTCCTTCAGTTAATCCTTCATCATTCACTTTATTATATCCATTTCAAACATTAAAGAAGCAAAAAGATTTTAAAAAGGATTTCAAAATATTAAATAAACCAACTGACCCAAAAATTCAACCGTTAAAGGAAAAATTTAGTCGCCCTTCATTTGCACCATATCCATATTCATACGAAATCGATCATTTAGAATATTCAAGAGGAAACGTTACTTATTTATTTGCCATTAACATTAACACCAGATATTTATATTGCATTCCGGTGAAAGGGAAAACAGAACAGGAAACAAGAAGAGCTATTCAATACTTACTAGATCATGAAAGAGTAGATAATATCAGGGGTGATGGTGATAAAGGATTTCAGGCAGCTATGGCTCATTATTCCCCACAAATTAATTTTTACTTTTCATCCTCTCCATATACGTTTCATAATAAAATAGTTGATGCGGTAATGAGAACTCTTAGAGATGCGTTAGGGGTTAACGGTCAGATATACTGGGATGGAAATCATGACTCCATCATACAGCAGTTAGTATATTATTACAATAATACATGGCATAGAACTATTAACATGAAACCGGTGGAAATGAAAAATGATATTTCAAAAGAATGGGAATATATTAGAAAGCAAATGGAAAGGTTGAATGATGTTAAACGTGAACAAATTAATTCGGGGCTCATGAATTTTAAACAAGGGGATAAAGTTTTGATTCATCTCGATTATGGAAAAACTAATAAATCAATGACAAAAAGAAGACGAAGATTTGACACAATAGCTGAATTTGTGAGATATATTAACGGCAATGCATTAGTTGAGGTTAACAATAAATTAATAGAAATTCCGATTTATTTTATTACTCCATTATATTTAAATAATATTTAATTTTTTTTATTTCGTAAGAAATGAGTAACAACGAAGCAGTCAAGAGTCCAGACGATGAATATAAAAAGAAACTAAACAGAATTAAATCAAAAATATGTTATTACAAAAAGAAGCCACAATGTGGTGGGGTTGAAAACGATAAAGAGAGGAAAGAAATAATCGAAAAATTAGAAACTTATCGTTCAATCCTTAAACTGAGTGAAGCAAAAATAAAAGAATTTAATAGAATAAATAAATTGATTGGAAGAGATGAATTTAATAAAGATGAATTTTTAAACTCTATCCAAATTTAATTTTTATTCCTCTTCGACAACATCTCTCTTTCCATCATTACTGCATAACCACATTTTCTCAATTTTAGTGGTTTGTTATTTTTAACATGTTCTTGCATCATTTTTATCATTTCCTCCCTTGTTATGATTCGTGGTAAATTTTGAGCTTGTGGGGTATTCATTTATGATAAAAATAAAAATTTAAATTATGCCGTTTGCTCTTTTGGAGCTCAGGACTTTCAGTCCGTTCTAAAGTTTGTGACAACAGTCACTGTGTGACGAGACCTGAAGGTCTTGACATTTTGACAACAACACAGGAGGAAGGTAGTTATGAATTAATTATTGAATAACCGAAGGTGCTACCATGCTACCATGTGCTACCAGGTCATTTAACTTCTCTGAAAAAGTGTGACAACAGTCACTGTGTGACGAGACCTGAAGGTCTTGACATTTTGACAACAACACAGGAGGAAGGTAGTTATGAATTAATTTTTGAATAACCGAAGGTGCTACCATGCTACCATGTGCTACCAGGTCATTTAACTTCTCTGAAAAAGTGTGACAACATGACATTTTGACAACAACACAGGAGGAAGGTAGTTATGAATTAATTATTGAATAACCGAAGGTGCTACCATGCTACCATGTGCTACCAGGTCATTTAACTTCTCTGAAAAAGTGTGACAACAGTCACTGTGTGACGAGACCTGAAGGTCTTGACATTTTGACAACAACACAGGAAATATGATGCAGTCCAAAAATAAAGTTAGTTTTAAAATTGTTTTTATTTTTTATTCCTATATAAATGACAGCAACAAACAACAGCAACAACTATATCGTTTCTGATGAAAAAGTTATTGATTCATTAGCTGAGGAATTAGTTGTGGCAGAAACTAAAACCCTCAACGAAAGAATTGGTGAAAACAGGATTGATTTACATAACTACCTCAAACATGATGGAGGAAGAGGAAGGAAAACTGGTATGGCTTTATTAGTAAATAAAATTTCAAATTTAACGATTATAGATGTTGATATCAATAAATCGTACAATGATGAACTTAAAGAAACAGTTAGAAAAGACATTTTATCAAAACTTTCGGATAAAGATGTTATCGTTAAAACCGCTTCAGGAGGTCTTCACATTTATTGCAACACTAATTTCTTCTATGCAGTTTCGAACAGAATGATTAAATGTTATTCCTGCAATGATTATGATATTGATATAATGACTTCAATGGATGATTCAAAGCGTTCTTTAGTGGTTATGGCTGATTCAAGAGTTCGCAAGAATGCAACAGAACCAATCAATACATACTCATTCATTCGTGGAAGTTATGATTCAACATTAACTAGAACAGTGAATGATATATTAAATGATTTGAATATTAAGGTAAGAGTTGAACAGAAGAATGAAGAAATAAAGACTATCATGAATGAAAACAAAGATGTAAACATTGACGATAAACTAGCTCAGAGCATAGTTGATGGCATCTGTGATTTTGAAGTACATAATGACGGTGGAAACATGAATTTAGAAAAAGAAATAACATTATTCACACTGTTTCAAGCTATTAATTCGTTACCTAATCATTTAATTAATGAAGCATACGATAACGTTTATAACTTCTGCAGTTTAACAGAAAATGCAAAAAGTAATTTTGAAAAAGCACGTAGTAGATATGCACATTTAATGACTTCTCCATTTGTTTTAGTGAAGATTCTAAAACTATATCAAAAGGAATATTATGATGAATATGTTTTACCTTTATTACGTAAGCCAAAAATAACATTTGATATCAAACTTGATGACTCGTTTTTGATAACAGATATTAGACGCAAGGCTGAAAATCATCAGTATAAAAACAGTTCTGAAGTAATTGAGGATTTATCACGTGTAATCCGTTTTGTAGATTGTGGAAATAAATATTTCATTCAAAAGGACTATAATATCCACGACAAAATGAATCAAATATCATTTGTTCTTCAGTCAAACATGAAAGAGTCACTCAAAATGATTAAATTATTTAAAGAAGAAGGTAAAACAATAACAGCATGGGATGTACTACTAAATCAATTGTCTTCATTAACCGTTAAGGGTGTTTGCTTTAAATCTGATTCCCCAGATGTTTTCTCAAACGTTTCAAGGTTATAAATACAACGTTCTCGAAAAACCAGATTACTCAAAAATTGAGATGTTTATGAATTTCATTAAAGAAGCCATTTGTGATAATAACGATGAAGTGTATAAATACCTTCTCGGCTGGATTGCATCAATGATTCAACATCCCGGAATCAAGAATGAAACAGCAATTATTTTGAAAGGACTTCAGGGAACAGGTAAAAACAGATTTACAGACATTATTTCTGAACTTCTCGCTGGTTATTCATGTAAAAACATTACCGAAATAAGTGAGCTAACGGGTAATTTCAATTCAGTAGTTGAAAATAAAATGTTTCTTGTACTTAATGAACTCAAGAATGTGGGTGAAGACAGACTCGCAAACTTCAACGCTTTGAAATCAATTATTACGGATAATGAGATAAGAATTAATGAAAAGAATCAACCCAGAAGAACAGCTCAGAACGTTGCAAACTTCATTTTCGTAACTAACAACGTCTACCCTGTCAAAATTGAAGTTGGAGACAGAAGATACGTAGTTTTAAGAGTTAATGGTAAATTCAAGGGTCAATTTGATTACTTCAAGAATTTGATGGATTCATGCACAAAGGAATTTTATGATAATTTACTGACGTATTTTATCAATTACGACCTTTCATCATTTAATGTACGAATCATACCGATGACTGAAGCCAAACAAGATTTAATTGAATTATCATCAAATCCTTTAGATGTATGGATAAATACACATTATGATGAATTGTGTGCAGGTATGACGTGTGAAAATGCTCTATTCTGCAAACCATCAGACATGAAAGACAAAAACTTTCAAATGAGTATTAAGGATAAATGTGATAGGAAACATAGAAGAATAGACGGTAAACAAACATGGTATTATGTTTTGAAAGAAGAAATGAAAGGATTATATAAACAGGTTGAACCAAACGATAATGAGGAATCATTTACT